GTGCTTACAAGCATAACTATAAGTCAACATATTATAAATTTTGTGACAAAAAGACAACATTAGAATGTGGGAAAAACTGCAGCCCAGAAAAGCCTATATATATGTTTTTGATTATGGGGGGAAATTGTCAATGAATGATGTTTGATTAAGTTAAGTAAATAATCAGAATTATTATGTAATTAAGTCTACTGTTTTTTTGGGGGGGGGGTTAAATTAATAACATACATTTCAGTTAAACCTCTCCCTTTTGAAAACAAAACAAAAAATGTCTAATTGTTAGCTTTGTGATACATTTTGTAATACACACTTCAACACTGTTACTTTTGATATTACTTTTGTGATAAAAAAAATAAAAAATTGCATTGAAGTAATTATTTCATAAATGTCTTATATCTAACCAATAGATATTAAACATAAATTACACCATCAAAATACAATGTAAATACATATTAAATTGCATTGATAATAAATTGAATTCATGCTATTTGTTTACAAAACAGATTATAAAAAGTATATGTTTTATAACCTTAAAAAAATACAGGGCAACCTGTACTAAGAACAGTTATTCTTGATAGAGCTATATGTATCACCATACTAAGTTAATCTACTCAAATTCAATCATATTAAAATTAACTGATTTTTTTCTGACTTTTTTTTAATAATCAAAATGGATAACATCACCTCTGGACCTCAACAAAACATCAATGTTTAACTGAAACACCTAAAACAGAGTCTTTACTGAGCTAAAACAAGAACCTCTATTCAAACATAAATGCCAGCTTTAGGCCTCTCCTCATTGGTAGAAGGCCTCACAGTCTAAATTGCTATACACCTGGTTGGTCAGAAGCATCAGCCAATCAGCCGATGCGGTTTGAAGCATGCTTGGTGTGTGTGCCACAATTTTTTGTATTGCCTTTTACGACAGAAGAAGGGGGCACAGGGGGAAGGAGTGGGGTGAGTCCCCATGCCAGAACAAGATGGGGACACTTTTGGGTGTCAGGGAAAATGTATGACTAAAAAGTACATTATTTCCATTAGGAATGTAGTGAAGTAAAAGTGAAAGTAAAAGTACAGATACCCCCCCAAAATTGCTTAAGTAGTACTTTAAAGTATTTTTACTTAAGTACTTTACACCACTGTATGAATCAAATAATCAATTATCCAGTAAAAACTGTAGGTGTTTTTAACATGTTCGACACATTATCCAGATCTATACAACTAATTGAATATAAATGTATAAATACAGTATATAAATGTCACTGAACCTGTGCCATTTTTCAGGAAACAATCTGAATAAAAAAATCATAATCCAGTTATCAGGTAATTCCTGCACTACTGTCACTGAACGCAATTCTCAGAAGACATTCCTTACCTCTTAAAGGAAGACACACAACAACAACGAAATTCCACACGCCCCCCCTATGTATCTCTGTTTTACGGGTGGCATTCCATAAGTCTTATCACCGACATCAATCCAATTGGTTACTGCTGGTATGACGCAGAGGTGGGTGTAGATGAGGTGGGTGTAGATGTTTGTATGGATGCAGGCATTTATTTACATGTATAGTCGTGGTCAAAAGTTTTGAGAATGACACAAATACTAATTTTCACAAAGTCTGCTGCCTCAGTTTTGATGATGGCAATTTGCATATACTCCAGAATGTCATTAAGAGTGATCAGATGAATTGCAATTAATTGCAAAGTCCCTATTTGCCATGAAAATTAACTTAATCCCCAAAAAACACGAGGACAAGGCTGGAGATCACACTGTCATGCTGATTGAGTTAGAATAACAGACTGGAAGCTTTAAAAGGAGGGTGGTGCTTGAAATCATTGTTCTTCCTCTGTTAACCATGGTTACCTGCAAGGAAACAGATGCCGTCATCATTGCTTTGCACAAAAAGGGCTTCACAGGCAAGGATATTGCTGCTAGTAAGATTGCACCTAAATCAACCATTTATCGGATCATCAAGAACTTCAAGGAGAGAGGTTCAATTGTTGTGAAGAAGGCTTCAGGGCGCCCAAGAAAGTCCAGCAAGCGCCAGGACCGTCTCCTAAAGTTGATTCAGCTGCGGGATCGGGGCACCACCAGTGCAGAGCTTGCTCAGGAATGGCAGCAGGCAGGTGTGAGTGCATCTGCACGCACAGTGAGGCGAAGACTTTTGGAGGATGGCCTGGTGCCAAGAAGGGCAGCAAAGAAGCAACTTCTCTCCAGGAAAAACATCAGGGACAGACTGATTTTCTGCAAAAGGTACAGGGATTGGACTGCTGAGGACTGGGGTAAAGTAATTTTCTCTGATGAATCCCCTTTCCGATTGTTTGGGGCATTCGGAAAACACCTTGTCCGGAGAAGACAAGGTGAGCACTACCATCAGTCCTGTGTCATACCAACAGTAAAGCATCCTGAAACCATTAATGTGTGGGGTTGCTTCTCAGCCAAGGGAGTGGGCTCACTCACAATTTTGCCTAAGAACACAGCCATGAATAAAGAATGGTACCAACACATCCTCCGAGAGCAACCTCCCAACCATCCAAGAATAGTTTGGTGACGACCAATGCCTTTTCCAGCATGATGGAGCACCTTGCCATTAGGAAAAAGTGATAACTAAGTGGCTCAGTGAACAAAACATTGACATTTTGGGTCCATGGCCAGGAAACTCCCCAGACCTTAATCCCATTGAGAACTTGTGGTCGATCCTCAAGAGGTGGGTGGACAAACAAAAACCCACAAATTCTGACAAAATCCAAGCATTGATTATGCAAGAATTGGCTGCCATCAGTCAGGATGTGGCACAGAAGTTAATTGACAGCATGCCAGGGCGGATTGCAGAGGTCTTGAAAAAGAAGGGTCCACACTGCAAATATTGACTCTTTGCATAAACTTAATGCAATTGTCAATAAAAGCCTTTGATATTTATGGCATGTTTGTAATTATACTTCAGTATACCATAGTAACATCTGACAAAAATATCTCATAACACTGAAGCAGCGAACTTTGTGAAGACCAATACAATAATTCTCAAAACTTTTGACCACGACTGTATACATAGACTCACCTGAGTATCAGAGGTCATAAAGAGAAGACACACCTGGATCAGCGCTACACAGGTGAGGTTATTATACCTTTTTTAAATATGTGTTGGTGACATAATAACTGTGTAGAACTTCACTATTATTTCCTGTAGATTATGGTAAATGGCAGATAATCAGATATTAATCTTTAAGCTTTGTTTTTTAAAATATCTTCTGGAAAAAAAAGTTGTGTTAATTCTGTGCATGTGCAAATACAGTATGGGAAAAAATTATTTGATCCCCTGCTGATTTTGTACGTTTTCCCACTGACAAAGACTTCATCAGTCTACACTTTTAATGGTAGGTTTATTTGAACAGTGAGAGACAGAATAACACCAAACAAATCCAGAAAACGCATGTCAAAATTTTTATAAATTGATTTGCAGTTTAATGAGGGAAATAAATATTTGACCCCTCTGCAAAACATGACATAGTACTTGGTGGCAAAACCCTTGTTGGCAATCAGACGTTTCTTGTAGTTGGCCACCAGGTTTGCACACATCTCAGGAGGGATTTTGTCCCACTCCTCTTTGCAGATCTTCTCCAAGTCATTAAGGTTTCGACACTGACGTTTGGCAACTCGAACCTTCAGCTCCCTCCACAGATTTTCTATGGGATTAAGTTCTGGAGACTGGCTAGGCCACTCCAGGACCTTAATGTGCTTCTTCGTGAGACACTCCTTTGTTGCCTTGGCCGTGTGTTTTGGGTCATTGTCATGCTGGAATACCCATCCACGACCCATTTTCAATGCCCTGGCTGAGGGAAGGAGGTTCTCACCCAAGATTTGACTGTACATGACCCCGTCCATCGTCCCTTTGATGCGGTGAAGTTGTCCTGTCCCCTTAGCAGAAAAACACCCCCAAAGCATAATGTTTCCACCTCCATGTTTGACGGTGGGGATGGTGTTCTTGGGGTCATAGGCAGCATTCCTCCTCCTCCAAACACGGCGAGTTGAGTTGATGCCAAAGAGCTCGATTTTGGTCTCATCTGACCACAACACTTTCACCCAGTTCTCTTCTGAATCATTCAGATGTTAATTGGCAAACTTCAGACGGGCCTGTATATGTGCTTTCTTGAGCAGGGGGACCTTGTGGGCGCTGCAGGATTTCAGTCCTTCACGGCGTAGTGTGTTACCAATTGTTTTCTTGGTGACTATGGTCCCAGCTGCCTTGAGATCATTGACAAGATCCTCCCATGTAGTTCTGGGCTGATTCCTCACCGTTCTCATGATCGTTGCAACTCCACGAGGTGAGATCTTGCATGGAGCCCCAGGCTGAGGGAGATTGACAGTTCTTTTCTGTTTTTTCCATTTGCGAATAATCGCATCAACTCTTGTCACCTTCACACCAAGCTGCTTGGCGATGGTCTTGTAGCCCATTCCAACCTTGTGTAGGTCTACAATCTTGTCCCTGACATCCTTGGAGAGCTCTTTGGTCTTGGCCATGGTGGAGAGTTTAGAATCTGATTGATTGATTGCTTCTGTGGACAGGTGTCATTTATACAGGTAACAAGCTGAGATTAGGAGCACTGCCTTTAAGAGTGTGCTCCTAATCTCAGCTCGTTACCTGTATAAAAGACACCTGGGAGCCCGAAATCTTTCTGATTGAGAGGGGGTCAAATACTTATTTCCCTCATTAAAATGCAAATGAATTTATAACATTTTTGACATGCGTTTTTCTGGATTGTTTTGTTGTTATTCTGTCTCTCACTGTTCAAATTAACCTACCATTAAAATTATAGACTGATCATTTCTTTGTCAGTGGGCAAACGTACAAAATCAGCAGGGGATCAAATACTTTTTTCCCTGACTGTACATGCTGAATCTGTCTGAATCTTTTGGTAAGAAGGAGGCAAGTCTGATTTAAAGCAAATTATTATGAACTCAATATCATTATGTTTTAGAATCCAACCTAGCAACACCAAGAACTATGGAACAATCTAAAGCAAATATTCTCTCTATCATCACTTGGAACACTTGTGGTGTTAAACCAACAAAACGCAGCCCAAATAAACGGATTGATATAATGAACTATGTCAAGAAACAGAATGCTGACGTAATCTTCCTTCAAGAAACTCACATTGGACCTAACTGCTATAGAAAGATAGAAAAACATGTATGGAAAGAGATGGAAAGACATTGGATCACTTACTCTCTTACTCACCGAGTAGCAAAGGAGTGGCCATACAGGTGAATAAAAACATACCACACTATGAGTACATCTGCCATGATGAAGATTACACTGGTGGCTACATTATGCTGTTCTGTCGGCTGTATGGTAAACACTTCACTATTGTGAATGTGTACAATCATAAAGAAGACAAGAAAGTACTGAAGAGGCTGTCACAGTATCTTCAGGAGATAAAGATTGGAACTTTAGTGATTGGGGGGGATTTCAACACAGCCTTGGACTTTGACAAGCGTACAGCATCTGAACATAGACGGCACACATCCTTACGACCTCTCCTGCAGTTTCGTTTCCTCACTGAACCTCCAAGACACATGGTCAAGACTACAAACAACAGAAGAAGCCTTCTCTCATTCTCAGAGCACCAGCCACTCTTGGTTAGATATGTTCTTCATGCCACATAACAAAGCACACCATGCTCAGACATGTAAGATTCACCAACCTGATGCGATTTCAGATCACAATCCTGTGTCTCTGAGAGTACAAGTAGAATGTACAATAACACAGGTTAATCCCATAAATTGAGCCAGATAGGAGACAGTGAAACAACAAGAAGGCAAGGAAAAATCAGTGGAGCTGAAGTCCTAGTGGCGATGAAATCCCTCACTGACTCAACACAATCACTACCATATGAGGTGGTGACTTCAGGGCCAGATTACTATACACGGTCACCATTGAGGTCAGATGACTATACTGTAGACAATCAACAAAACATGAACCATATGATAGATGTCCAACACTGTCTCCATACGATGCAAGACTCCTGAGAGAGTCAGATCATTCAAGACAATCACCATCGAGGTCAGATTATTCCAGACAATCCACCATCAAGGTGGTCAGATGACTCCAGACAATAACCATCGATGTGGTCAGATAACTCCAGACAATCAACACTATATGATTCAAGTTCAGATGACTCTAGACAATCACCACCATGTACATTAAATTATTCAAGATGAGACTTAACACCATATGATTCAAGGTTAGACAACCTTATGGAAATAGAAAGATTAAAACACTTTTATAATGAAGTACTCGCAGAGGAAACAGAAAATGAGAAACTCCCTAAAGGATTCAACAGAGAGTACAAAATATTTGCTACAATACTTGCCAACTGTCTGCTGATGTACTTGGAACCCTATTAAATGAAAGGACCAAGACATCCCTGAGTCCGCATTGCACTGTTACTTTGGTCCTTAATGGCAAAACACAGCTCAATTGGAAGTTCTTAAGCATTGCAATTAGATCAATAAAGGCAATCCCACTACAAGAAATTACCAAAGAGGACACAATTTTGAAGAAGGTGCTTTCCCAGGACTTGGGTATCTTGCAGAAGTTGCTTCTAAGGGTTAAACATTCCTGTATTCATAAGAAACATCTACATCATGACTGTCCCCTCACCCCAGCCCTACTCAGCCTGTGTCTGAAACACATGGAGGATGACATTTTCCAGAGTCATCCCAAATGTCACCACTAGAATCAGTTACCAAAGAAGGAGTCTTAAGCTCTACATAGACATTCTGGGAGAAACGTCTGTGCAGGACCACCTCTCCCACATCAGAGAGGAGTCTGGGATTGAAATGAAAGAAGAATGGCAGAATTAAGATGATCTGACATTACTGTGAAAAAGTATTTGTCCCCTTTCATATTTTTGATACTGAATGTTATCAGATCTTCAACCAAAACGTAATATTAGATAAAGGGAACCTGGGTTTAGAAATAACAAAAAAAATGGATACTTATTTAATTTAATTAACAAAGTTATGCAACATCCAATTCCCCTGTGTGAAAAAGTATTTTGCCCCTTACACTCGATAACTGGTTGTGCCACCTTTAACTGCGATGACTGCAACCAAATGCTTCCTGTAGTTGTTGATCAGTCTCTCACATCGCTGTGGAGGAATTTTGGCCCACTCTTGCATGCAGGACTGCTTTAACTAAGCGACATTTGTGGGTTTTCAAGAACGATTCATACCACAACATCTAATTTGCGATTAGGTCTGGACATTGACTAGGCCATTCCAAAACTAGAAATGTGTTGCTTGTGTGTTTTGGATCATTGTCTTGCTGCATGACCCAGCTGCGCTTCAGCTTCAGTTCACAGATGGATGGCCTGACATTCTCCTGTAGAATTCTCTGATACGGAGCAGAATTTATGTTTCCTTCTATTGAGGCAAGTCGTCCATCACACTTCCACCACCATCCTTGACCGTTGGTATGAGGTTCTTATTGTGGAATGCAGTGTTTGGTTTTTGCCAGACATAATCACATCACGTCCAAAAGTTGACTCAAGTTTGCCAAGTTTGCCAAGATGCACCTGGAAGCACCTGGATGATCCTCAAGACTCTTAGAAGAATGTTCTATGAACAGATGAGTCAAAAGTATAACTTTTTGGACTGTTCTCATTCTCGTAGTGGACACTTGTTTGGAGAGCTCACAAACTGCGCAACACTTGTGATAATGAAGTTGTGGTTTATTTAATTATATTTACCAGTTTTACGTCAATGTCTGGTTTCTCCATCTTGTCATTGTTGTGTGAACCCGTACGCTTCAGTGCGGACAGATGTGGGCTACCTGGCCTGACTGCCAGGATGAGCTTATGCTATTTAGGTTCCCTATAACTATCAAGCTGTCCGATCACAGCACAACTAGCTCCATGACAAATCATATGCTTATCAAGCACAAATAAACGTTTTCGGAGACGGACAAGCAGCATCAAGGTCACTTTCACCACCCTGTGAAGTTCATCATAACTTATTTCATCTGTAGCCTAATAAACTGCATGGTTTCCAGAGTCGTAGTGGGAGGACCACACACCATATCATTGCGTGACTCCAAGGTTACTTCGATATTGTTATATTAATATTTGCGCATAAAGGCATTTCCATCGCCATTTCTCGCATCAATCATTTTACAGACACAAAAATATCCCACCATGTCGAACGAACAAATTATCTGTCGGCATTTATAAAATTGTACAAAAACTTCCTGTTTCCATCACAGCTGTCTTGATTTTTTTTATACAGTATGACTTTACTCGCTTAAAAACTATGGAAGGAAACGTGGTTATTCATTGTAAATATTTATTAAATGCTCCTAATTTAATTTCTTCTATAGGTTTCAGAAACATGAACATATAAATTACTATAATGTGTCTTTAACTTTGATAAAAAATTTCATATTTAAAGTGACCTGAGTATCACCGGTCATACAGCACAACAGGGATGACACATCAACATTTCCACTGTAATTAGTAAAGGGAATCACAAAAGGACATGTAACACTTTAGACACAGTAATCCTCCATTGTCTCTGTACAGACTGAACAAACACATGATAACTTTGTGAAGTTATAGAAATGACCTCAAGACAGTTAATTGAATCATAATGAAGATCATAACCCAGTTAGCTAGCATCCTGCACTACTGTCACTGAACGTAATTTGTCCTCAAGTGTTGACAGAAGACATTCCTTAACTTTGAAAGCAAGACAAAAATAAAACTAAAAATAAGAACATTCACACCCCCCCACCCCCTCTAAACAAAGGATGCAGTAATTATATATTAAACCTTACAATGGAAAGTCAGATAGAGAGACAAATGTAACCCTCCAGATTGCATTTCTTCTAAAGCTTTAAGAAACATGAGATGTTCTATAAAATACAATAATGGGACTTTAATAAATAATAACTGTTTGATGACATTGGCAGTAATTCCTACTTCAACAATAACATAATTTACTTGATATAATTAGCTAAAAGGTAGTGATTTAAAACCTGAATTGGAAATGGAAACTCAAATTAACTTTGTAGCATACTACGTAGTATTACGGGTGGCATTCCGTAAGTCTTATCACTGACATTGATATTTTAATGGATGCATGCAACCTTTACATACCTATTTACATAAACTCACCTGAGTATCAGAGGTCATACAGCACTGCAGGGAAGACACCTGGATAAACAACTCAGATGAGTCCATCGCTGGGTTACAGAAAAATTATATTTTAGGGGTAGGCTCACATACAGTGGGGAAAAAAGGATTTAGTCAGGCACCAATTGTGCAAGTTCTCCCACTTAAAAATATGAGAGAGGCCTGTAATTTTCATCATAGGTACACGTCAACTATGACAGACAAAATTAGGGGAAAAAATCCAGAAAATCACATTGTAGGATTTTTTATGAATTTATTTGCAAATTATGGTGGAAAATAAGTATTTGGTCAATAACAAAAGTTTCTCAATACTTTGTTATATACCCTTTGTTGGCAATGACACAGGTCAAACGTTTTCTGTAAGTCTTCACAAGGTTTTCACACACTGTTGCTGGTATTTTGGCCCATTCCTCCATGCAGATCTCCTCTAGAGCAGTGATGTTTTGGGGCTGTCGCTGGGCAACACGGACTTTCAACTCCCTCCAAAGATTTTCTATGGGGTTGAGATCTGGAGACTGGCTAGGCCACTCCAGGACCTTGAAATGCTTCTTAAGAAGCCACTCCTTCGTTGCCCGGGCAGTGTGTTTGGGATCATTGTCATGCTGAAAGACTCAGCCACGTTTCATCTTCAATGCCCTTGCTGATGGAAGGAGGTTTTCACTCAAAATCTCACGATACATGGCCCCATTCATTCTTTCCTTTACACGGATCAGTCGTCCTGGTCCCTTTGCAGAAAAACAGCCCCAAAGCATGATGTTTCCACCCCCATGCTTCACAGTAGGTATGGTGTTCTTTGGATGCAACTCAGCATTCTTTGTCCTCCAAACACGACGAGTTGAGTTTTTACCAAAAAGTTATATTTTGGTTTCATCTGACCATATGACATTCTCCCAATCCTCTTCTGGATCATCCAAATGCACTCTAGCAAACTTCAGACGGGCCTGGACATGTACTGGCTTAAGCAGGGGGACACGTCTTGCACTGCAGGATTTGAGTCCCTGGCGGCGTAGTGTGTTACTGATGGTAGGCTTTGTTACTTTGGTCCCAGCTCTCTGCAGGTCATTCACTAGGTCCCCCCGTGTGGTTCTGGGATTTTTGCTCACCGTTCTTGTGATCATTTTGACCCCACGGGGTGAGATCTTGCGTGGAGCCCCAGATCGAGGGAGATTATCAGTGGTCTTGTATGTCTTCCATTTCCTATTAATTGCTCCCACAGTTGATTTCTTCAAACCAAGCTGCTTACCTATTGCAGATTCAGTCTTCCAAGCCTGGTGCAGGTCTACAATTTTGTTTCTGGTGTCCTTTGACAGCTCTTTGGTCTTGGCCATAGTGGAGTTTGGAGTGTGACTGTTTGAGGTTGTGGACAGGTGTCTTTTATACTGATAACAAGTTCAAACAGGTGCCATTAATACAGGTAACGAGTGGAGGACAGAGGAGCCTCTTAAAGAAGAAGTTACAGGTCTGTGAGAGCCAGAAATCTTGCTTGTTTGTAGGTGACCAAATACTTATTTTCCACCATAATTTGCATATAAATTCATTAAAAATCCTACAATGTGATTTTCTGGAATTTTTTTCCTCAATTTGTCTGTCATAGTTGACGTGTACCTATGATGAAAATTACAGGCCTCTCTCATCTTTTTAAGTGGGAGAACTTGCACAATTGGTGGCTGACTAAATACTTTTTTTCCCCCACTGTATGTTTAGATCATATTGATACAGTAATATAGAATATTTGACAAAATAGGCTGGGTTTATTTTCTGTTATTTTGCAGTAGAAATGAAGAAAGCTTATCATGAACCATGTTTCCATCCACAGTTGTTATGCCAGTAAAGTCATACCTTATAAAAAATAAAATAATGACAGCTGTGACGGAAACAGGAAGTTTCAGTACAATTTTATAAATGCCGACAAATCATTTGTTTGTTCGACATGGTGGGATCTTTTTGTGTTGGTAAAAGTAATTATGCAAGAAATGGTGGTGGAAAATGAATTAAAGAGATTTTTGGACACCCCTTCAAATTAGTGGATTCGGCTAGTTCAACCACACCCGTTGCTGACAGGTGTATAAATTCGAACACACAGCCATGCAATCTCCATAGACAAACATTGGCAGTAGAATGGCCCACACTGAAGAGCTCAGTGACTTTCAACGTGGCACCGTCATAGGATGCCACCTTTCCTACAAGTCATTTCGTACAATTTCTGCCCTGCTAGAGCTGCCACCGGATCGTTGTAAATGCTGTTATTGTGAAGTGGAAACGTCTAGGAGCAACAACGTCTCAGCCGTGAAGTGGTAGGCCACACAAGCTCACAGAACTGGACCGCAGAGTGTTGAAGATCGTCTGTCCTCGGTAGCAACACTCACTACTGAGTTCGAAACTCCCTCTGGAAGCATCAGCACAAGAACTGTTCTTTGGGAGCTTCATGGAATGGGTTTCTATGGCAGAGCAGCCGCACACAAGCCTAAGATCACCAAGCGCAATGCCAAGTGTCGGCTGGAGTGGTGTAAAGCTAGCCACCATTGGACTCTGGAGCAGTGGAAACGCGTTCTCTGGAGTAATGAATCATGCTTCACCATCTGGTAGTCCGACGGACAAATCTGGTTTTGACAGATGCCTGGAAAACGCTACCTGCCCCAATGCATAGTGCCAACTGTAAAGTTTGGTGGAGAAGGAGTAATGGTCTGGGGCTGTTTTTCATGGTTCGGAATAGGACACTTAGTTCCAGTGAAGGGAAATCTTAATGCTACAGCATAAAACAACATTCTAGACGATTCTTTGCTTCCAACATTGTGGCAACAGGTTGTGGAAGGCACTTTCCTGGTTCTGCAAAACAAAGCGAGTTCCATACAGAAATCAAGTCCCCATAGGAATGTTCCAACATCTTGTGGAAAGCCTTATAATAATAATAATAATATGCCATTTAGCAGACGCTTTTATCCAAAGCGACTTACAGTCATGCGTGCATACATTTTTGTGTATGGGTGGTCCCGGGGATCGAACCCACTACCTTGGCGTTACAAGCGCCGTGCTCTACCAGCTGAGCTACAGAGGCCTTCCCAGAAGAGTGGAGGCTGTTATAGCAGCAAAGGGGGGACCAACTCCATATTAATGCCCATGATTTTGGAATGACATGTTCGACAAGCAGGTGTCCACATACATTTGGCCATGTAGTGAATACTTCCATTAATTTTTTCAACTGGTCCTGGGGCACCTTAAGATGAGTCGTGTAAGGCCTGTGGGTGTCCTAGAGCAAAACAACTGACATGTACATGTTCATGAGAGTCCAACCTTTTCACGTAGGCCAAACGGTGCGGACGCTACAGACAGAAGTTGGCACATCCGCTGTACCGACTTCAGATGAGTCTCCTGACACTTGTGGAGGTCATTGAGCAAAATAATAACACCATTGTGTTCGTGAGAGTCTCATCTTGCCAAACCGTTTGGACGCTACAGACGATTACCAATTTTCCGGGATATCTCATGGTCTGACAAACACCACTCTAGCCCTTTCACCACAGCTGCGGTAGTGCGACATCAGCGGATGTGGTAAATTGAGACGCATTCAATGCAAAAAGAAACGATATCTCTAGCTTAAACTGACAGATTTAGATTTTTTGTATTATGCTAATTAAATGTCCGGGTCTAAGGAGATGCACTAGGTAGTGGTTGACATTATTTTTTAGTTTAGGAACTGTACAGGATGCAATTTAGTAAATGTTGTATTTTTGCACCATAGGGTCTCACAGGGTTAAATATCTGATGATGCAGAGGTGGGTGTAGATGTTTGTATGGCTGCACACAACCTTTAATACTCACCTGAGTATCATTGGTCATACAGCACGACAGGGATGACACACTGACATTTCCACTGTAATAAGTAAAGGGAATCACAAAAGTACATGTAAAATTTGGACACAATAATAATAATAGTGAATTTATAGAAATGACCTCAAGACAGTTCATTGAATTATAATGAAGATCATAACCCAGTTATCTAGTACATTCTGCACTACCGTCAATGAACTTGTAGGAAAATAATGTAATTTGTCTCTGAGTGTTCATATGCAATTCTCAGAAGACATTTCTTACCTCTGAAAGCAAGAGAAAAACAAAATTCCATACTCCTCCCACCCCCTAAAAACTATGGTTTCAACAATTATACAGTACATTACACCTTACACGGTGGAAGGTCAAATAGAGAGAACAATTGCTTTACTTCTAAAGGTGTAAGATACATACATGTCCTATAAAACACATAGGACCTTAATAACATGTCTTTGATGACATTGGCAGTAATTCCTACTTCAACAATAACATCTCTCCGCACTGCTAAAGCTAACTCTCTCTCCTCTGCTCTTGTCCTTCTAGACCTGTCTGCTGCCTTTGATACTGTGATACTGTGAACCATCAGATCCTCCTCTCCACCCTCTCCGAGCTGGGAATCTCCGGCGCGGCTCACTCTTGGATTGCGTCCTACCTGACCGGTCGCTCCTACCAAGTGGCGTGGCGAGAAGCTGTCTCCGCACCACGTGCTCTCACCACTGGTGTCCCCCAGGGCTCAGTTCTAGGCCCTCTCCTATTCTCGCTATACACCAAGTCACTTGGCTCTGTCATATCCTCACATGGCCTCTCCTATCATTGCTACGCAGACGACACACAACTAATCTTCTCCTTTCCCCCTTCTGATAACCAGGTGGCGAATCGCATCTCTGCATGTCTGGCAGACATATCAGTATGGATGACGGATCACCACCTCAAGCTGAACCTTGGCAAGACGGAGCTGCTCTTCCTCCCGGGGAAGGACTGCCCGTTCCATGATCTCGCCATCACGGTTGACAACTCCGTTGTGTCCTCCTCCCAGAGTGCGAAGAGCCTTGGCGTGACCCTGGACAACACCCTGTCGTTCTCCGCTAACATCAAGGCGGTGACCCGATCCTGTAGGTTCATGCTCTACAACATTCGGAGAGTACGACCCTGCCTTACACAGGAAGCGGCACAGGTCCTAATCCAGGCACTTGTCATCTCCGGTCTGGATTACTGCAACTCGCTGTTGGCTGGGCTCCCTGCCTGTGCCATTAAACCCCTACAACTCATCCAGAATGCTGCAGCCTGTCTGGTGTTCAACCTTCCCAAGTTCTCTCACGTCACCCCGCTCCTCCGCACACTCCACTGGCTTCCAGTTGAAGCTCGCATCTGCTACAAGACCATGGTGCTTGCCTACGGAGCTGTGAGGGGAACGGCACCTCCGTACCTTCAGGCTCTGATCAGTCCCTACACCCAAACGAGGGCATTGCGTTCATCCACCTCTGGCCTGCTGGCTCCCCTACCTCTGCGGAAGCATAGTTCCTGCTCAGCCCAGTCAAAACTGTTCGCTGCTCTGGCACCCCAATGATGGAACAAGCTCCCTCACGATGCCAGGACAGCGGAGTCACTCACCACCTTCCGGAGACATTTGAAACCCCACCTCTTTAAGGAATACCTGGGATAGGATAAAGTAATCCTTCTACCCCCCCCCCTTACCCCAACCCACCCCCACCCCCCCAACAAACAATTTTTTTTACAAATTAAAAATTAAAAAAACAGTGAAAAAGTGGTTATCCCACTGTGTCACGGTTTTCGGCCGAGGGCCTGCCTCTCTCCCTGTTAGGGCATGGCTTCGGCGTTCGTTGTCTCCGGAATACTAGCTGCCACCCGTGTATGTTTCATGTTCCTTTTGCTTTGTGTCTGAGTGTTGTCACACCTGTTTTGCATTTAGTGTCATATTTAGTTCCCGTTGTGGGTGTTATTGATTTTTGTCAGACGTGTATTTCCGCTCGGTTGACTTCTCTCCACTGCGCTGGAGTTATTACGACCTGTTTCCCGTTGTTTGTTTTACATTTGGCTCGATGCGTATTTTGCCATCGGCAGGTTGTCCGTTTGCGTTTTGATAAATACAAGTCTGTTGGATTATCCTTTGCGTCCTGCGTTTGATTCCGCCACTGACCTAAGCACGCCTTGACACATGGCTATAAGGTGAATGCACCAATTTGTACGCTCTGGATAAGAGCGTCTGCTAAATGAACGTAAATGTATATGTAAATCTAATTTGCTTGACCAAAACGAAAAAGTAGTGATTCAAAACCTGGAATGGAAATAGAAACTCATATGGTTGGGTGGAATCCCAGTCTTATCTTCGGTATGGTATGACACAGAGGTGGATGTTTCTTAAGATGCATGCAACCTTTAATATTTAAAGAGACTCAGCTGAGTATCAGAGGTCATTCAGCACAGCAGAGAAGACACACCTGGATCAGCGCTACACACAGGTGAGGTTATTGTTTTAAATAGAATGGGAGATGAAGAAGCAATATTTAGAAATAGGCAGATTTGAAAATAGTGACATTTGTAATTTTTGCCAAAACACTTTACAGATGTTTAGATCTGATACAAATCAAGTTTTAAGCCTGTTAATGTTCAGTAAAAATGTAATAATTAACAAACGCTCAACAAAGTGCTAATGAAATCCCCAATGCTTTTACTAAATGGAATATCTGAGAAAATATTTCTCATATAAAGTTCTCTCTCAGAAATGGATGTAGCTCATCCATTTAAGGAGCACTTTATAACCGAAAGCATGATTTACTTCCTTTCAGTCAAATACTGTTCTATGATGTTGCTATGGATCTTTAATAAACCCTGTCCAGAATCTGAATATCTCTATGACAACACAGAGATGGATGTGAATTTTTGTCAATATGAACAGAAAACCATTTGACTATATTTGAACAAGAGACACTGATACACTCCACAATGTTTGAACAGTATAATGGATTTTGTATTATGATTCAAATTTCAGTTGATTAAGTTTTTCTATAAACATCCATAACTATTAAATATTTTCTGAACGGTGATTTTAGGTAATTGTTTGAATAAACAATTGTGGACAAAATCTGAAGTCTATATAACAAACCATAGCTAATGCTACAAGTCTACATCATATAGTTTATGGATGAAGGAGCCCTTATTTTTTAAATCTGATCTGGTGACAGTGGCTATACTACTTGTGATGTTGTGTTGTTTCATAGAGTCTGTTGTATCCTGTGTAGATCAGGTCCTGTCTTGAAGAGGCTCAGTATTCAGAACCATGGCCATGTCTGGGGATCACACTCTACGCTTTGTTACTTGGAACATCCGGGGTAAAGGTTACAAAAAATCTTCAAAAACAGAAAAACTTGGATTGGTGTTTAAACAGCTAATAACACTCAAAGCCTCAATAACTTTTCTTCAAGAGACGCACATTGGACCCAAAGACATAGATCTATTCGAAATTGCAACAAGCTGGAAATCATACTTCACTGTTTACTCTACACAAAGCAAAGGAGCAGCCATACTAGTGAATAAAAACATAGAACAACACTATCAATACATCTGCCATGATGAAGAACCCACTGGAAGTTACATTGTGCTGTTCTGCAAATTGTACGGTCAAAGCTTCACTCTTGTGAATTTGTACAATCATGCAAAGGACACAAGGGTATTAGAGACACTGACACATTATCTTCAGGAGATGGCCACAGGTATCTTAGTGGTTGGAGGTGACTTCAATACTGTCATTGACCCTGATATAGACAGGTTCTGTGCAACAGGGACTGCACAGTACACTCTTCTGAGGCGTTTTCTTGAGGAATTCACCTCCTCCCTAAACCTCGTGGACATCTGGGGAAGACTAAACCGAACGAAAAAAGACTTCTCTCGCTCTGAGAAGAAAAGCCACTCTCGTTTAGATATGTTCTTCATGCCAGAGGACACAATATGGCATGCTCAGCACTGTGAGATTCACAAAGGCAAAAGACTTTCAGACCACATGCCTGTGTCTCTGGAGCTCTGCCTTCCTGAGACAGACAGGCAGTTTGTGCCTGAACAAGGCTTTATAAAAGAAAAACTTGGGCATAGTGAACCACCTGACATGAGGACAGAAAAGATCAGCGGGGCAGAAGTTTTAATGGCCATGAAATCTTTGATCGACTCAGGTCAACGAACACCTGATGGATCACATGTGATTGACATCAAACAAAATTGCCAAAAAATGACAGACAAATTTAAACTCTCCTACAACAAAATGCTCAGAACAAAAAATATACCAAAAGAATTCAAACAGTCACTGATCACCAAGCACGGCCACAATTTCAGTGTCAAGTACATAATATTTGCCACAGTGCTTGCCAGACGATTAAGGGTTTTCTTAGCTCCCTCGTTCAAAAGTAGAAAGAAAAAACACAAACCTATATTCTCTGTCAGTGTGATCCTTCGAGAGGTGCCAAAAGAAATCTGTTGTCTCTTCTTGAATAATGCACTGTCGTCCATGAAGGCGATTCGGCCTCCGCCCCCCCGGGATTTCAGCATCTTGAGGGAACTGCTTCCAAATGTTGTGGGATCGGCAGGTTCTAAAAAGCAGCTGCTGCAAGGCTGTCCCCTCACCCCAACCATCATCACACTCTCTCTGACACACCTGGCTAGCATAGCTCGCCAACATCTACCAGATACCACAGTGGAGGTTTTCAGGCACCGACAGTGTCTATATATGTACATGCCAGCTGACAGATACTCTGATCTAAGAAAACTGCTCTCAAATTTCGTGAAAGAATCTGGGCTCAACCTAGTGGCGCAGTGGTCTAAGGCACTGCATCGCAGTGCTAGCTGTGCCACTAGAGATCCTGGTTCGAATCCAATCAATCAATCAATCAATCAATTTTATTTTATATAGCCCTTCTTACATCAGCTAATATCTCGAAGTGCTGTACAGAAACCCAGCCTAAAACCCCAAACAGCTAGTAATGCAGGTGTAGAAGCACGGTGGCTAGGAAAAACTCCCTAGAAAGGCGAAAACCTAGGAAGAAACCTAGAGAGGAACCAGGCTATGAGGGGTGGCCAGTCCTCTTCTGGCTGTGCCGGGTGGAGATTATAACAGAACCATGCCAAGATGTTCAAAAATGTTCATAAGTGACAAGCATGGTCAAATAATAATCAGGAATAAATCTCAGTTGGCTTTTCATAGCCGATCATTAAGAGTTGAAAACAGCAGGTCTGGGACAGGTAGGGGTTCCATAACCGCAGGCAGAACAGTTGAAACTGGAATAGCAGCAAGGCCAGGCGGACTGGGGACAGCAAGGAGTCACCACGGCCGGTAGTCCCGACGTATGGTCCTAGGGCTCAGGTCTCTCAGTTGGCTTTTCATAGCCGATCATTAAGAGTTGAAAACAGCAGGTCTGGGACAGGTAGGGGTTTCGTAGCCGCAGGCAGAACAGTTGAAACTGGAATAGCAGCAAGGCCAGGCGGACTGGGGACAGCAAGGTGTCATCATGCCCGGTAGTCCTGACGTATGGTCCTAGGGCTCAGGTTCTCAGAGAGAAAGAGAGAACGAGAGAATTAGAGAGAGCATACTTAAATTCACACAGGACACTGGATAAGACAGGAGAAGTACTCCAGGTATAACCAACTAACCCCAGCCCCCCGACACATAAACTACTGCAGCATAAATACTGGAGGCTGAGACAGGAGCGGTCCGGAGACACTGTGGCCCCATCCGAAGAAAACCCCGGACAGGGCCAAACAGGAAGGATATAACCCCACCCACTCCGCCAAAGCACAGCCCCCGCACCACTAGAGGGATATCCCCAACCACCAACTTACAATCCTGAGACAAGGCCGAGTATAGCCCACAGAGGTCTCCACCACAGCACAAACCAAGGGGGGGGCGCCAACCCAGACAGGAAGATCACGTCAGTAACTCAACCCACTCAAGTGACGCACCCCTCCCAGGGACGGCATGAAAGAGCACCAGCAAGCCAGTGACTCAGCCCCTGCAACAGGGTTAGAGGCAGAGAACCCCAGTGGAGAGGGGAACCGGCCTGGCAGAGACAGCAAGGGCTGTTCGTTGCTCCAGCCTTTCCGTTCACCTTCACACTCCTGGGCCAGACTACACTCAATCATATGACCTACTGAAGAGATAAGTCTTCAGTAAAGACTTAAAGGTTGAGACCGAGTCTGCGTCTCTCACATGGGTAGGCAGACTGTTCCATAAAAATGGAGATCTATAGGAGAAAGCCCTGCCTCCCGCTGTTTGCTTAGAAATTCTAGGGACAATTAGGAGGCCTGCGTCTTGTGACCGTAGCGTACGTATTGGTATGTACGGCAGGACCAACTCGGAAAGATAGGTAGGAGCAAGCCCATGTAACGCTTTATAGGTTAACAGTAAAACCTTGAAATCAGCCCTTGCCTTAACAGGAAGCCAGTGTAGGGAAGCTAGCACTGGAGTAATATGATCAAATTTCTTGGTTCTAGTCAGGATTCTAGCAGCCGTATTTAGCACTAACTGAAGTTTATTTAGTGCTTTATCCGGGTAGCCGGAAAATAGAGCATTGCAATAGTCTAACCTAGAAGTAACAAATGCATGGATTAATTTTTCTGCATCATTTTTGGACAGAAAATTTCTGATTTTTGCAATGTTACGTAGATGGAAAAAAGCTGTCCTTGAAACAGTCTTGATATGTTCGTCAAAAGAGAGATCAGGGTCAAGAGTAACGCCGAGGTCCTTCACAGTTTTATTTGAGACGACTTTACAACCATCAAGATGAATTGTCAGATTTAAAAGAAGATCTCTTTGTTTCTTGGGACCTAGAACAAGCATCTCTGTTTTGTCCGAGTTTAAAAGTAAAAAGTTTTCAGCCATCCACTTCCTTATGTCTGAAACACAGGCTTCTAGCGAGGGCAATTTTGGGGCTTCACCATGTTTCATTGAAATGTACAGCTGTGTGTCATCCGCATAGCAGTGAAAGTTAACATTATGTTTTCGAATAACATCCCCAAGAGGTAAAATATATAGTGAAAACAATAGTGGTCCTAAAACGGAACCTTGAGGAACACCGAAATGTACAGTTGATTTGTCGGAGGACAGACCATTCACAGAGACAAACTGATATCTTTCCGACAGGTAGGATCTAAACCAGGCCAGAACTTGTCCGTGTAGACCAATTTGGGTTTCCAGTCTCTCCAAAAGAATGTGGTGATCGATGGTGTCAAAGGCAGCACTAAGGTCTAGTAGCACGAGGACAGATGCAGAGCCTCGGTCTGACGCCATTAAAAGGTCATTTACCACCTTCACAAGTGCAGTCTCAGTGCTATGATGGGGTCTAAAACCAGACTGAAGCATTTCGTATACATTGTTTGTCTTCAGAAAGGCAGTGAGTTGCTGCGCAACAGCTTTTTCTAAAATTTTTGAGAGGAATGGAAGATTCGATATAGGCCGATAGTTTTTTATTTTTTCCGGGTCAAGGTTTGGCTTTTTCAAGAGAGGCTTTATCAGGCTCTGTCGTAGCCGGCCGCGACCGGGAGACCCATGGGGCGGCGCACAATTGGCCCAGCGTCGTCCAGGGTAGGGGAGGGAATGGCCGGCAGGGGATGTAGCTCAGTTGGTAGAGCATGACGTTTGCAACGCCAGGGTTGTGGGTTCGATAAAATAATGTATGTGCTAACTGTAAGTCGCTCTGGATAAGAGCGTCTGCTAAATGACTAAAATGTAAATGTAAAAATGTAGTAAGTAGTGTGGGCAGCACTTAGGAGGACTTGATTGCCATTCCATGCAGAATTATATGGAAATTATGTGAAACATTCTATATTCTCAAACTCTGAACATTATCTGATTCTTCCTGTTCGGACACCCACCGATAAATAATTCTAAGCCACAGTACCCTGCCATACGGCATGCTATGGTCCATAAGATCCACCAGGGGAAATGGACGCTAACTGAAGGTCAAACCCAGAACCAGTCCTAAAGAGCATGTATTATCTGTAACAAACATTTCATCAGGAGAGATAATAAACCATGAAATAAGGGGCATTACACTTCATATCCAGGGATATTGGATATCTTGATTCACAACAGCCTATACATTACAACCTACAGTGCCTTCAGAAAGTATTCACACCCCTTTACATTTTCCACATTTGTGTTACAGACTGAATTAAAAATGGATTAATTTGAGATTTTTGCTCACTGGCCTACACACAATACCTCATAAGGTCAAAGTAGAATCATGTTTTTTATATATTTTAACAAACTTATTAAAAATGAAAAGCTGAAATGTCTTGAGTCAATAAGTATTCAACCCCTTTGTTATAGATGTCACGGATTCTGCCGAGGCTGCCCCTCCTCCTTGCTCGGGCAGGCTTCTGCGTTCGTCGTCACCAGAATATTAGCTGCTGCCGATCTATGTTCTATGTTTCTATGTTGCACCTGTTGTCTATTGTCACACACCTGTTGCCCATTATTGTAATCACACCTTCCCTATTTAACCCAGTGGCTCCCAATGTGTTTTGTGTGTGGTTGTTTTGGTTTTGTGTGTCGTTTGTGAGCGGGTTAGTTTCTCCCTGTGTGGAGATATTGCTGTATTGTATCCTTTACTCATTTCTCAGTAAAGTACGTTTCTTCGAGTTCTGTGTCCTGCGCCTGACTTCGACCCACCGCATTACACTGACACTCGTGACAATGGAAAGCCTCAATAAGTTCAGGAGTAAACATTTGCTTAAGAAGTCACATAAGTTGCATGGTGTCACGAATTCAGCCGAGGCTGCCCCTCCTCCATGCTCGGGCAGGTTTCGTCGTTCGTCGTCACCGGCTTACTAGCCACTACCGCTCCATTTATCATCACTCCATTTGTCTTGTCTTGTCTTGTCTTGTCAATCACACACACCTGGTACTCATTCCCTCATTAGTCTGTGTATAAGTGTTCCCTCTGCCCCCTTGTCCTTTGTGAGTGATTGTTTGTTGTGAGAGTGAGTAGCTCGGTTGAGTTACTCTTTACTTGTATGCAGCCAAAGTTAATTTTCCCTTGTGCTAGTTTCGTTCTGTTGCTATATGCGCTACATTATTGTACACTGAATAAACTCTTGATTTCAGTGTTTTACCTCCTGCGCCTGACTCCGTCATTCACACCTCATCACACATGGACTCACTCTGTGTGCAATAATAGTGTTTAACATGATTTTTGAATAACTACCTAATCTCTGTACCCCACACATGCAATTATATGTAAGGTCCCACAGTCAAGCAGTGAATTTCAAACACAGACTCAACTACAAAGACCAGGGAGGTTTTCCAATGCCTCGCAAAGGGTACCTATTGGTAGATGGGTAAAAATAAAAAAGCTGATATTGAATATCCCTTTGAGCATGGTGAAGTTACTAATTACACTTTGGATGGTGTATCAATACACCCAGTCACTACAAAGATACAGGCGTCCTTCCTAACTCAGTTGTCAGAGAGGAAGGAAACCATTCAGGGATTTCACCATTAGGCCACTGGTGACTTTAAAACAGTTACCGAGTTTAATGGCTGTGATATGAGACAACTGAGGATGGATCAACAACATTGTAGTTACTCCACAATAGCAACCTAATTGACAGAGGGAAAAGAAGGAAGCCTGTACAGAATAAAACAATTCCAAAACATGCAACCTGTTTGCCTCAAGGCACTAAAGTAATACTGCAGAAAGATGTGGCAAAGCAATTCACTTTTTGTCCTGAATACAAAGTCTTATTGGATTTGCCCCAAACATACAACAGATTACTGAGTACCACTCTCCATATTTTCAAGCATAGTGGTGGCTGCATCATGTTATGGATATACTTGTAATCATTAAGGACTGGGGAGTTTTTCAGAATAAAAAAGAAACGGAAAGTAGCTAAGCATAGGCAAAATCCTAGAGGAAAACCTGGTTCAGTCTGTTTTCCACCAGACACTGGGAGATTAAATAACCTTTCAGCAGGACAATAACCTAAAACACAAGGCCAAATCTACACTGGAGTTGCTTACTAAGAACACAGCAAATGTTCCTGAGGCCGAGTTATAGTTTTGACATAAATCTATTTGACAATCGATGGCAAGACCTGAAAATAGTTGTTTAGCAATGATCAACAACCAATTTGACAGAGCTTGAACAGTTTTGAAAAGAATAATGGCTAAATGTTACACAATCCAGGTGTGGAAAGCTCTTAGAGACTTACCCAGAAAGACTTACATCTGTAATCACTGCCAAAGGTGCTTCTACAAAGTATTATCTCAGGGGTGTGAATACTTATGTAAATGATATGCCATAAAAAAAGGTGTGGATTTGCGTGTGTATATTGTCTTGATTATAGGACTTCCTGTAGTAAAACAAAAAAACAAAAATGAAAACAAATACACCAGGAAAATTCACAGATAGCGAATGAAAGAAAATAGAACAGTTTTATTGCAATCATATTTATTTTGTCGTCACCTTGTATAAAAGGGCTCAGATTGCAGTTCGCTCTTCATAGAAGATGCTACATTCTTCACTAAAATGTGAAAACGAAAAAACAAAACGACAAATATTTTTTCCTATGATCTGATCGTAATAAACTCTACATCTGGTAGCACCAGCTTTATACAACATGGTTCCAGACATCAGTGTTCACACCGCTGGAACAATCAGAACATTACTGAATAACCTGCGTAGACCAGAAAGAAATTATTTAACTGTCATTGAAGGTATATTGGTATCCAAATGTGTGAGTAAAGTAATACTACAGACTCCTCTTCATGAGTAAGTGCTTACAGGTATAACTAATAGTCAACATATTTATTCTGAAAGAAAATGTTGTTTTCTAAATGCTGTGACAAAAGACAACATTAGAATGTGGAAAAAACTGCATCCCAGAAAAGCCTGTATTTAAGAATGATTAATGGGGGTAAATTGTCACTGATTAATGATGGATTAAGGTAAGCAAATAATCAGAATTATTAATTTAATTAAATATACACTCGTTTGTGTGGGATTAAATTAATAATAATTTCAGTTATATCTCTCACTTTTGAAAACAAAACATGTATGTTTGTTAGGTTTGTGATATATTTGTAACACACTTCTACTGTAAATGCACTTTAGTGTTTCCTGATATGACTTTTGTGATTGGAAAATGAAATTTCATTAAAGTAATACATTTATACATGTCATATATCTAACCAACAGATAATAACCATATTACACAATCAAAATAAAAGTAATGCATTTAAATTGCATTGATAATAACATTGAATTCATTTATGCTATTTGCTTAATGAACAGATGATCAAATAATATATGTTTTATAACAAAGAAATACAGGGTAACCTGCACTAAAGAGCTTCAGTTATTGTTGATAGAGCTACAAGCATAACCACACTGAGTTCATCTACACCTGTAAACATTTGTAAAAACGTTCAGCCATGTAACAATTCAGAGATTTTTCAGAATGTTTCAAATAATCAGAATGTCTGGACCTCTACAAGACATAAACATTTAACTGAAACACCTAAAGCAGAGTCTTTACTGCGCTAAAACAAAAACATCTATTCATACAAACACCAGCTGTAAGCCTCTCCTCATTTGGTGGAGGGCCTCACCTGGTTAAGTGCTCAGCAGGCAGTCTAAAAAACGGCACACCTAGTTGGTCAGGAGCATCCGCCAATCAGCCGATGGGTCCCAAGATTCCTTTTGATTGCCTTTTAAGACTGAAGAAGCGGGACGGGGGTACTGGGGGAAGGAGTGGGGTGAGAGAGTCCCATGCCAGAACAAGAAGGGGAGTAGGGATAGAACCCTCCCTCCCTCAGCCCCTCCCAATTCAATCCCAATCTGAGAGGTAAACCACCAGCCACGGGTCCAGATAATTGCAGATATGGTCAGATTACGACCACAGAGTAGCAGGGTCTATTCTCCAATCCCAGAGTATCAGGTGTCATGCTTTGAATACATCGACTGCGTCATTCCATTTTGGTACACCAGAAGTACATTCATTTCCAATGGAACGCTGCGTTTGCCTTGCAGCATTGCGTTGCAGAGGCAGTTGCAGTGCGTTCTGTGTGGTGCGTACATTGGATTTATCGAACGTATGCGTCAAACTGTATGGGTAAACGGGATGACAGAAATGGTAGCAGAAGGTGAATGTTGAACTTGTTGCACACATATCTAGATGATGCTGCATACTATTTTGCGCAACGACGCAGTTGGTGTGTTCAAAGCATTACAGCCCATTTGGACCAGTCTAACCAGTATGATCCCAGTAGAGGGCGTAGCAGACCAGTCACTGAATTCCATTTCAGCATTCCTAGGGTTCATTCCTAGGGTCCTGGTTTGGGCAGTGTCATCACTGGTGAACTTTTTTAATAAAGTTTGGTAAACGTTCAGTGTTCCTGTGTTTTTTTAAGATTGGCCTAATTTGGAAAATATTCAACAAATTATGAAAATAACTATGAAAAAAGAGAGAGAGTGTGTGTGTTGTCAATTACAAATGAAATGTGTGTGCATGTGTGTGATTGGTCAGTCGAGCAGGTGTCCTGTTTGTTCAGTAATCAGGGTCAGATTGTTTACCTGAAGCAGACTCAGCTCTGCTATTAACTACCAAGGCACCCACACTTCCTGATCCCACCCTCCTCGCCTCACTCTCCCCCAATCCCTCCCCCTCCCACCCTCTTTCTTCCCCCATCCTCCACCGCAATCCATCATTCTATGTTTTTTCTCCTTCAATACCATCCTCTCTCTCTCTTCCAGTTCCTCCCTTTACTCCGTTCACCCTCACTCACTAGTATTTCATGTCCAACTTTCTCTATCAAAGTTTCACAGTCTAATAAACAGGAGCTAGATGGTGCCAATCTTTCCCATTTGTCTGGGATGGAGGCCTGTACATTTCCCATAATGCATATTGCTGAATTTATTTACACAACAGATGGCATGGAATACAGACACAGCTTGACTTTAGACCACTGTTGATGTGAAAAAGGAGTGGAAAAGGTCTGACAGACTTTGATTTGGTAATGAACCATTGCTTTAACGTCCCCAGATGTAAGCTTTCTTCAGATAGTGTTCTATAGAGGAAGGCCTCTAATCAAATTCCATGCTGGCTCTCTCAGTGTAAGAGGAGACAGAGGCAGCATGAGACAGCGATTCAGATCCCCTTCCTGAGAGGGATGGTGAACACACAGGATGAATGGATTCTCAGTTGTTAGAAATCATCTGGAGAGGAGCGAGACCTTTGAGTCTATGAAAATCACAAACCGATCTGCATGTAAAGTCGACCAACCAGAATGCAGGAAATGGGATGTTCAGTATTAAACGCGTCACATTTAAAGGGGATGAAAGTGAAGAGAGAGAGAGAGTTAGAGAGAGTTCTTTGAACCGTCTCATGTGAGGTGTGACTAAGTGAGGTGATTTAAGTTTGTATCTAGCTTTAATTCTTATAATCTCATGTTTGCCACAGTTCTGAGTTCATTTAATAAAACATTGACCCCTGCTTATATTGGGGTACGAGAGAGTTTTTGAAAAGCCTTTCAAACCAGACATCAAAAAGTTCACTTAAAGCAAACGCACCGAGCTTATAGATGCTTTATCCCTACCTATATGTAAAGTGCATTTGGAAAGTATTCAGACCCCTTGACTTTTTCCACTTTTTGTTACATTGCAGCCTTATTCTAAAATTGATTAAATATTTTTTTCTTATTTCTTCTGAATACTTATTTACATAAAGTATTCAGACCCTTTACTCAGTACTTTGTTGAAACACCTTTGACAGCAATTACAGCCTAGAGTAAAACTGTTTTACGGGTGGCATCCCATAAGTCATATCACTGGCATCTATCTAACGATAGGTGCTGGTGTGACGCAGAGGTGCGTGTGGATGTTTGTTTAGATGCACGCAACCTTTAAAGAAGCTCACCTGAGTATCAGTAGCCAACTTAGCTGCCCTGAGATTGGAAGGTCAGGAGTTCGATCACCGGTCAAGTCATACCAAAAACTATAACAATGGGACCCACTGCGCCTCTTCTTAGCACTCAGCATTAAAGAGATAGATTGGGAGTAGGGCTCTGCGATAAACTAGCATCCTGTCAAGGGGGTGTACTTGAACATCAAGCTGCCTCACGCTACATAAACAGGAGATCCTGCTCCTATGAGCCTTTCTAGCTTGTACAAGGCTCGTGCAAGGCTACTTACTACTTACGTTTCTCCATCTTGTCATTGTTGTGTGAACCCGTACTCTTGAGTGTGCACAGATGTGGGCTACCTGGCCTGAGTGCCAGGATAAGCTTATGCTATTTAGGTTCCCTATAACTATCAAGCTGTCCGATCACAGCACAACTAGCTCCATGACAAATCACATGCTTATCAAGCACAATGAAAAGTTTTCGGAGGGGGACAAGCAGCATCAAGGTCACTTTCACCACCCTGTGAAGTTCATAACTTCTTTCATCTGTAGCCTAATAAACTGCATGGTTTCCGGAGTCGTAGTGGGAGGACCACACACACACACTATCATTGCGTGACTCCAAGGTTACTTCGATATTGTTATATTAATATTTGCGCATAAAGGCATTTTCATCGCCATTTCTCGTATCAATCATTTTACAGCCACAACAATATCTCACCATGTCGAACGAACAAATTATCTGTCGGTATTTATAAAATTGTACCAACACTTCCTGTTTCCATCACAACTGTCTTGATTTTTTTTTATACAGTATGACTTTACTCGCTTAAAAACTATGGAAGGAAACGTGGTTATTCATAGTAAATATTTATTAAATGCTCCTAATTTCATTTATTCTATAGGTTTCAGAAACATAAACATATAAATTACTATGTGTCTTTAACTTTGATAAAACATTGCAATACAAATTATTTGACAATGCAGCTATGGGCGTGGTTGTTTTTTTTCTTAAACATTTCATATTTAAAGTGACCTGAGTATCACCGGTCATACAGCACAACAGGGATGACACATCAACATTTCCACTGTAATCAGTAAAGGGAATCACAAAATGACATTTAACAATTAAGACACAGTAATCATCCATTGTCTCTGTACAGACTGAACAAACACATGAGAACTTTGTGAAGTTATAGAAATGACCTCAAGACAGTTCATTGAATCATAATGAAGATCATAACCCAGTTATCTAGTACATCCTGCACTACCGTCACTGAACTTGTAGGAAAATAAAGCAATTTGTCCTCAAGTGTTGACACGCAATTCTCAGAAGACATTTCTTAACTCCGAAAGAAGAACATAAATAAAACTAAAAATAAGAAAATTCACACGCCCCCACCACCTCAAAACTAAGGATGCAGTAATTATATATTACACCTTACAATGGAAAGTCAAATAGAGAGACAAATCCTCCTGATTTAATTACTTCTAAAGGTTCAAGAGACATACAAGTGAGATGTATAAAATGAGACTTTAATAAATAATAATAATTTGATGACATTGGCAATAATTCCTACTTCAACAATAACATAATTAGCTTGATCAAATGTAAAGGTAGTGATTCAAAACTGGGATTAGAAATAGAAATGTGTATGAAACAAAATTCATGTGTAACTGTCTGACTCGCGGTCAAGGGCCATTCCATGAGTCGTCACCAGTATCTATCTAATAATTGGTGCTGGTATGATGCAGAGCCGGGTGTGGTTGTTTTTATGGATGTACGCAACCTTTATTATTTAAAAGAGACTCACCTGAGTATCAGAAGTCATACAGCACGGCAGAGAAGTCACACCTGGATCAGCGCTACACAGGTGAGGTTATTATACTTTGTTTTTTATATGTACTGACGCAATCTTCCTTCAAGAAACTCACATTGGACCTAAAAGTTACAATGACATAAATGAAGTGAGAGGTTGGATCTCTTACTTTACTGTTTACTCTCCAAATAGCAAAGGAGTGGCCATACAGGTGAATAAAAACATACCACACTATGAGTACATCTGCCATGATGAAGATTACACTGGTGGCTACATTATGCTGTTCTGTCGGCTGTATGGTAAACACTTCACTATTGTGAATGTGTACAATCATAAAGAAGACAAGAAAGTACTGAAGAGGCTGTCACAGTATCTTCAGGATATGGCCCCTGGCATCTTAGTGATTGGAGGGGATTTCAACAGTCCTTGACCCTGACTTTGACAGGATCTCTGCATCTGAACATAGACAGCACACAGCCTTGAGGCCTCATCTGGAAGAGTTCATCTCCTTTCGGAACCTAGTGGACATCTGGGCAAGACTACACCCAAAAGAGCAAGCCTTCACTCACTCTCAGAACACCAGCTACTCCCGGTTAGATATGTTCTTCATGCAACAGGACAAAGCCACATGTGCTCAGATTTGTGAGATTCACACTGTTCCAGGGATTTCAGATCACAACCCTGTGTCTCTGAAGATCCACATTCCTAAAATAGGAAGTATGTGAACAGATGTTCATCAAAAGCTGAGGATGTTAGGAGATAGCAGAATACAAGACAAGAACAAATTAGATAGAAGAGCAGGAAAAATAAGTGGAGCGGAAGTCCTTGTGGCAATGAAATCCTTGACCAACTCAAATGGATCAAGGGATGAGAACCTCATGAAAACAGAGATATTGAAACATTATTACAATGAAATACTCAGCAAGAAAATAAAAATACCTGCAAAATTCAAGAAGGTACTGAACCGACCATACAAAATATTTGCCACAATACTTGCCAATCGTCTGCAGATGTACCTAGCACCCTCGTTTAGAGGAAGGATTCAAATACCACCACAAGAGCATGCCATACAAAGTTTCCCTGGCCAGGCAACCATCGATTAAGTGGGTATTCTTAAGACAAGCCCTGGCGTCCATTGGCATAATTAAGTCTCCCCCTAGAGACTTCACAATCCTAAAGCAGGTGCTTCCTCTGGATTTAAACATTTTGTGGAAGTTACTCCCAATGGTTGAAGGTTCCTGGGGTCACAAAATAAAACTAAAGCATCAATGCCCCCTCACCCCAGCACTACTCTACCTGTGTCTGAAGTACATGCAGCACCGAATCCAGAAGACAGGCACAGTCCTTAGTGTTAGAGTCTTTTTATCCACATGGAACAAGAGAAACTACCTTCTGTGGTCAAACTGCTCTCTGAAATCAGAAAAGAGTCTGACCTGAGTTTGAAGGTGGTATGAAAATTGGAAGTGGAAAATAAACATTTAAATGAAATGTTATTAGAAAAACATTATTGTCCATTAAAAGGTGGATATTGCCTTCAGCTTCACAATGAGATTGACTACACCATGAAGTGTTGACTACATCTATGAAGTGTTGAACCAGTGCCCTCCATACTAACTGCTATGGTCCATAAGAGCCACCAGGGGAAGCTAAGTGAAGGTCAAACCCAGAACCAGTCCTAAAGAGCATGTATTATCTGTGGGAACACACTAAATGTATTGGGTAAAGTGTTATGAAATGTAACATTTTTAAATTGTATATAACTACCTTAATGTTGCTGGACCCCAGGAAGAGTAGCTGCTGCCTTGGCAGGAACAAATGGGGATCCATAATAAATACAAATCAGGTGAGTTCATAAACCATGCAATAAGAGGCATTAGCCATCGTATCCAGGGATATTGGATATCTGGTGCCATAATTTAAAACCGACATAAATGGAAATGTATTTTCAAACCTATAGGCCAAAGATAGTACAGTATGAAGATGGGCAGAAACTTTTTCTCCAATAGAAATCCCTGATCACACTTGTAAGCGATGTCATGGCGACATTAGCTAGCTAAGCTCATGCGCAGAAACACGTCATCGGGTCTAACGGTCGCGGCACGCCCAACTGCGCAAATGTATAGGTTATTTAGATGTGTATCTTAAACAAATGCTCATATTACTGTATTCATTGTTGCATATCTGTCATGATAGGAATATAAATAACTACTGTACATATTATACTGTATAGATGTACGAGCTATGATGTATGAACGAGAAGTACTCCCAGGAGTATGCAATGTCTCAGTCTTATCAGGGTTCTGCCGACTGTACATAAAATATAAACTCAGCTCAATATTCCGTTGGGTTTCTCAGGTTACAATGGCCTTTCAAACCACAAGGTCATCTGAAGTCTCCGAGGTCTCATTATGAACATACTAGGATTGTATTCCAAAAATAAAAGGTGTGTATTTGTATGTATATTGTCTAAATTAGTCTTGATTATAGGACTTCCTGTAGTAAAACAAAGAAACAAAAATGAAGACAAATAAACCAGGAAAATCTAGTTAAGAAAATTCACTCTTATTGCAATCATATTTATTTTGTCGTCACCTTGTATAAAAGGGCTCAGATTGCAGTTCGCTCTTCATAGAAGATGCTACATTCTTCACTAAAATGTGAAAACAAAAAAACTAAACGACAAATATTTTTTCCTATGATCTGATCGTAATAAACTCTACATCTGGTAGCACCAGCTTTATACAACATGGTTCCAGACATCAGTGTTCACACCGCTGGAACAATCAGAACATTACTGAATAACCTGCGTAGACCAGAAAGAAATGATTTAACTGTCATTGAAGGTATATTGGTATCCAAATGTGTGAGTAAAGTAATACTACAGACTCCTCTTCATGAGTAAGTGCTTACAGGTATAACTAATAGTCAACATATTTATTCTGAAAGAAAACGTTGTTTTCTAAATGCTGTGACCAAAGACAACATTAGATTGTGGAAAAAACTGCAGCCCAGAAAAGCCTGTATTTAAGAAAGATTAATGGGGGTAAATTGTCAATGATTAATGTTGGATTAAGGTAAGCAAATAATCAGAATTATTAATTTAATTAAATAAACACTTGTTTTTGTGGGATTAAATTAATAAGAATAATTTCAGTTATATCTCTCACTTTTGAAAACAAAACATGTATATTGTTCCCTGATATTACTTTTGTGATAGGAAAATGAAATTGCATTAAACTAATAAATTCATAAATGTCCTATATCTAACCAACAGATAAAAGATATGACACAATCAAAATCAAGTTAATGAATTTAAATTGCATTGATAATAAAATTGAATTCGTTTATGCTATTTGTTTAATGAACAGATGATAAAAAATTGATGTTTTATAACTACAAATACAGGGTAACCTGTATTAAAGAGCTTTAGTTTTTTTTTATAGCGCTATAAGCAACATCAATCTGGTTTAATCTACACGTGTAAACATTTGTATAAAAAAAGTTCAGCCATGTAAAAATTTACAGATTTTTCAGAATGTTTCAAATAATCCAAATGGATGACAACATGTCTGGACCTCTACAAAACATCAATATTTAACTAAAACACCTAAAGCAGAGTCTTTACTGCGCTAAAATAAGAACCTCTATTCAAACATAAACACCAGCTTTAGGCCTCTCCTCATTGGTGGAGGGCCTCGCCTGGTTAAATCCTCAGCAGACAGTCTAAATACCTGCACACCTGGTTGGTTAGGAGCATCTGCCAATCAGCCGATGTGGCGCTACCCTCAGTGTGTTTCCCACAATTCCTTTTGATTGCCTTTTAAGACAGAGGTAAACCACCAGAAACAGTCCAGTTAATCCCAGATATGGTCAGATTACGACCACAGAGTAGCAGGGTCTATTCTCCAATCCCAGAGTGTCAGGTGTTACAGACCAGTTGGACCAGTCTAACCAGTACAATCCCAGTAGAGGGTGTCACAGACCAGTCACAATATCCAGTTCATCATTCCCAGGGTTCCACGCACACAGCATATCCTGGTTTAGGCAGTGTCGTCACTGGTTAACTTTTTAAATAAAGTTTGGACAACGTTTGGTGTTCCTGTGTTTTTTTTCAACTTGGTCCCACTTTGGACTTTCAAATCCAATGATGTCAACTCAAAAACATGGTTCTGTTCAGAAGCAGTCAACTCTGACAGCCAGTCACCTCCAAGTCTGGTCCTCTCAGTAGTAATTTAACAGAACAACGTCCGGATGGTCCACTTTGGCTCAGCTGGCTCATTATGTTCAGAGAGAGACAGAGAGAGGAAGAGAGAGACTGGACATAGATGAAGTCTACAGGATGGAGTGATGGAGAGGATAAAGGTGTGAAATGAAGAATGAGAGCTTTGATGGTAGATTAGTGCCGGTCTGTTTCAGAGGGAGCTTTAGTCAGGAGCGAGGGATGGAAGAGAGGGAACGAGAGGAGAGAGTGGACAGAGAGAAAAGAGGAGACCAAGAAGAGAAAGATTAGTACACTCCAGAAATGACAGAGGTGATGTGTTGGAGTGTGTGTGTATGTGGTGTTGAAGTCTACCCTACTGCAGTCAACGTAGGGTCTGAATTTAAGACTAGGCCTCCCTATGAGGTGTGGATAGTTTAAAGTAGGGGCTGAGTGGGTGAGGCAGGCCATCTCTACAGTGGGCATGGTAGATACTCAGGAGGTCAGCTTGAATAGAGGGATGTTAGATAGAGAGAAAGTTAAAGAGCGGGGTGAGGAGGAGGAGAGAAAGAGGAACTGTCCTCATTGAACACACATCACTGTGAAGAGCTGGAGTACCTGAGAGAGAGAGAGCGAGAGAGAATTAGCAGTTCATCAATACCATCCAATGGGCATGCTGTGCATATGACACACACACAAACATACACAATGAGTGCAGTTGTATCTCACCTTGTTCCTGCTTGTTCTGCTTGGATCCTTCGGTTGCTAAGCGAGGGGAAGAGAGGGAGAGAGGAGGAATACAAATAAAGTTCATTATTCAAGTCATTTTCAAGTTTCCCAAAAAACTACGGCCTCACTTGCATGGAACAAAAAAAATTACAGAAAAATGACTAGGGGAGGATATTTACCATTACTCACAGCCAAATGCCATGAAAAATGACTACTGACTGCGCAACCCTAAAATATGTCCCCAATGCAAATTCTCTTAAAGGTCGAATGAAAAAAGAGCAAAGAAAGTGAGTCGGGAGCCGGGGGGTGGGGGGGTTTGAGAGAGAGAGAGAGAGAGAGAGATAGAGGAGAGAGATGAGGAATAGAGAGAGTGGAGCAAGAGAGGATTAGGAATAGAGAAGCAAGAGTGCGAGCGAGCTGAGAATGAGAGAGAGAGCGAGATGAGAAAAGAGAGAAGAAGATGAGGAATAAGAGAGAGGGGGAGCGAGAGAGATTAGGAATAAGAGAGCAAGAGTGCGAGCGAGCTGAGAAATGAGAGAGAGAGAGCGAGATGAGGAATAAGAGAGAGAAAGAAAGATGAGGAATAAAGAGAGAGAAGGGAAAAGAGAAAAAGAAAGGCGGCAACAAAAGTCTGGATGACAGAGAGAAACAGAAGAGGACAGAGGAGAGGAAATGAAAAGGGTGGAGGTGGAAAAGACCTGGGAGAAAAACAGACGGAGAAAAGCAGGGAGGGAAGGAAAGATTGTAAGAAGGTCAGGCGGAGAGAGGGAGAGAAGGAGACGGAGGAGGGAGGGGTGTTTGTGTCTGGGTGTCACTCCCTCAGCAGGGGGGCTGACTAAAAGGAAATAATGGAGGGATGGAGGGAGAGGGAGGTGGAACGAAGAGAGTTAGGGAGGGGTGGATGGGTGCTGGAGGGCATAGGAAGGTGGAGAGGGTGAGAGAGAGGAGGGAGAGAAGGCTAGAATACCAGAAAGAGCAAAAATAAGTAGAAAAGTAAGTATGGATAGAGAAGAGAGGGGGAAAAGATGTGGTACAGGGAGAAAAGTAAGTATGGATAGAAAAGAGAGGGGGAAAATATGTGGTACAGGGAGAAAAGGAGCAGAAAACTGGGAGGAGATTGTTGTAATGCAACTATTTTCCAGTTGACTGTTTTCCTACAATGAAGTGTGTACATGATGTCTAACGTATATTTTTCACAAGATTGCTCACTGATCAAATGCTTAGCTTGGACATCATTTTTTCTCTCTCTGTGTCTGTCTCTGTGTATGTGGGGAATCAAAGTATTTATAGGTGTGATATTAGGGCTTGACTAAGGTATCTATAGGTCTGATATTAGGGCTTGAGTAAGGTATCTATAGGTGTGATATTCTGTTATGTATATAGTCAGGGGTGTACTATAAGTCAAAGAGGCTTCCATGTTGATGAGGGAGGGGCTTAACAAACCTCTCATATTGTGAAGAAATAACTATCAAAGAGTTAACGAAGCTTTAAATAGCATGCTGTGACCGGGCTTCTCACTGTGTGTGTGTGTGTCGAGCAGTGAGCACTAACGTTAACCAGAAGAAAATGTGTCCAAAGCGTCAAAACTATGAACGTTACAGAACACATCACTTCTGTTCCATTTTCTGTTTTGTAACATTAGTTAATAATTATGAAATAACAAACAAAAAATGATTCTATTAATCCAATCCAACCTTTCATGTCTAAATCGAGTAGATAAAAACAGCCCAAATAAAGCCAGGAAAATAAGGTGTAGAGGTTTTATCAGGTAATTCTCCAAATACAATTAACAGAACATACCAAACTATTTACATCAAAGGCAACAAACAAGTGCACACTCAAAGACTAAATTAAGAAATTAAAGTGCATTAACTGATTTTGAAATGTACGCATTGACCTAATGCCTACATCAATAGCTGACTTTAAAATTATTCTGCGTAATTATAACTATGTTTAATAATAAACGTAATACTACACCAAACTATACTGCCATTTCAAGAAGATCACCGGAAGTCTGCATAAACAATTAAATATTGAATCGTCAAAAAATATATATACGTCAAATAATTGAAAGACTAAATATATTTTTTTGTTCATTGATAATGAATAGGTCGTTCTACAAAATGAGTGCCTTTTGCGTCCCTTTGATGTTTCAAGCAGAAATTGTGCACAAATATTGAATATTAAAAGCCTGATATATTAAATGAAGTGCCCTTTAATATAGAGCACATGGAAAATTCAACAAAACTGATTTGTATATTAAAAGCTGCAATATGTAACTTTTTGGACGACCCACCCAAATTCACATAGAAATTCTAAGTCTAAGAAGCGGTAGATCTGTTCTATGTGTGTTATTTCTATGCTTCCCATTCTTACATTTCGTCTTTGCGTCTTTTACTTTCTGTTTTGTACATCAGCTTCAAACAGCTGAAAATACAATATTTTTTGGTTATGGAAAAGATATTGAATTAGAATTTTAGCAACCAGGAAATGGAGGAGCGATTTCTGCATAGTCCATCTTTAATAAAAACTAAAGTGCCAAAATTCAGCATTTTGACATGTCCCTCTGGCATCCTCTGTGACTTCTAAGAATATTTTAACCCACTTAACCCCAACATTTCTCAATTTCCACCATCATTGTAAAGCCCTAGTTATTTTGTTGCTTTGACAAAGTCATTTCTTAAGATTATTATTTACTAATTCATGTTATAATTGATTCATTTTAAGGTTAACATTTTTGTAAAACCCTGTCCCTGTTGTATGTGATTAAGTGAATTTGTGTGTGTATGAATGTGCATGTGTGAATGACTACATGTATGCTGTAGATAACTGTGGTGTATTGGTCACGGCCAGCTCTACCCCAAAATGGCTGCCATGGTCGCATGCGTCTCAGGACAGCACTGCACTGCAGAGAGAGACCTACTGTGTGTGTGAGTGAGTGGATGTGAGCACGCATGGATGTGTGTGTCTCCAGACGGAGAACTGCAGCGAGACACCATTCCGTGACTCCACATCTCCCTCCCCCACGCCGCCATTTTATAAACACAGTGACTAAAGGTAGGTAGCCATCTTCCTGAGCAAACAAAACATTCCAAACCCGCTTGCCGAAAAAGAGAGAAAAATCTAAACACGGTAGAAAGTTGGTCAAAGTTAGTCTTTCAGTGTTGAGTTGGAAGTCGGAGAGAGAGGTAGACGAGTGGTGTGTGAGTGTTTGTGTGTGAGTGTGTGTTCGGAATGGTGGGCAGGGGGCACAAAGGTATTCAGAATAGTGGGGGTCAGTGATGGAAGGACATTTTGAAAGAAAAAGTGAAAAAAAGCGCAAAAGAAGTGAAAGAAACGGAGAGGGGACTGCAACCTGAAATGACCGCGATGGACTGTTCACAGCAGGGGAGAGAGGGAGGGAGAAACAGAGGAGAGGAGGAGAAAGAAAGGGGAAATCAATTAGAGAGAGTAGAACGCCTATAATGGCTTCACACAGCGGGAGAGAGGGTGAACGAGAGAGAGAGAAGGAAAGAGAGAGGAGGGTGAGGAACAACAGCAGACTTCATGTTTGGAGAAGTCGTCTTCATAGAAAGGTGAGTAGAGGGGGATAGCAGAAGATTGCTGGGGAGGAAAGAAAGGTGGAGCTGCAGGGGGAGCTGTTTCAGCGTGACACCGCTCTGGTTATGCAGATTTTGAAGGTCGTGTCTGATGCAACACTGTTCTAGCACAGCAGAATTGGGGAAGAGGGCTTTTTGCTGTGACACCGCTCAACTGGAGTGGGTAGGGGACCCTTTTCACCGGGACACTTCAGTAGAGTCAAATTTACAGTAGAGTCAAACTTACAGACTTTCTGTTCATTTACAATGTCATTCAGCAGTCTGCAGAACCAAGATATCCAAAGAGAATTGAATCTAATAAATAGACACCAACAGGGAGAGAGGAACATAGATAAAGTGACTAATTACTCCCAGCACAGACCTTAGGAGCTTCCTGTGTCACGTGCAACCGTGTCCTACCTGCCCTGCTCTCTTTACAGCTGTTTTAGTTCATTTGAGTTAGAGAAAAAGTTGGCCTGTGACACATGCACACACAGGAGAGTGCTGGTTAATTTGAGTGGATAAACACACACACAGTGACACAGGAGAGAAGATGATGGCACCACAGAGTGCTGGGTGACCTTGGTACAATGACAGTGTACCTGATGGACCCTCTCTCTCAGTCACCGCTCTGTCCTTCAGGTCCCTGTGTGTGTGTGTGTGTGTGTGTGTGTTCCCAACTACAGGGAATCAACACCTGAAACATACATTCAGAGCACGGTTTGTTGTTTGAAAAAGACATGAGAGTTGTAAAGAGAGAGATAGTTGTAGAGAGAGTAAGGGAGAGCAAGAGAGTTGTAGAGAGAGAGAGAGAGAGAGTTGTAGAGAGAGAGAGAGAGAGAGAGAGAGAGAGAGAGAGAGAGAGAGAGAGAGAGAGAGAGAGAGAGAGAGAGAGAGAGAGAGAGAGAGAGAGAGACAGACTCAGTGGAAATAAAGCATCCTGAGCAGCCAGAGAAAGGCTGTAGCTTAAGGACAGGAGCGGCCATCACTGGGCCCTCACACACACACTGTATGTGCCACACTGCCTGTTCGATAAAAGGGAACCTCTACAGGAAGGAACCAGAGAGAGAGTGTGAGGCGTTGCCGCAGGGAGCACAACAACAGCTGCACTAAACAACCACTAATGGACAGGCAGAGAGAGAGAGAGAGAGAGAGAGAGAGAGAGAGGAAACTTCTCTCCTCTCATCCATCTCAGTCTCATCCTGCTCTCTCCTCATGTATCCTCATCCCAACACATTTACAGAACAGACCCTGCATTACAGAGATAGAGAGGGAGAGGGGGAACAAAAGAAAAGAGGGAGAGTTGGTAAAGAAGTGGCCAGAGAGGAGATGGAGAGATACAGAGGTGAGATAGAAAAGACAAAGAAAAGAAAAGAGACAAAGAAGAAGAGTGACAAAAGAAAATGTTGGAGGGATGGAGGGAGAGAGAGAGGGTGGGATAAATGGGGATGGAGGGAGCACAGTGGGATAGAGAGAGTGAAGGAGGAAGGGGTGGAGGGAGAGAGAGGGTGGGAGACATGGGGATGGAGGGAGCACAGTGGGATGAGCGAGAGAGTGAAGGAGGCAGGGATGGAGGGAGAGAGAGGGTGGGAGACATGGGGATGGAGGGAGCACAGTGGGATAGAGAGAGTGAAGAGGCAGGGAGGAGGGAGAGAGAGGGTGGGAGATGAGGAGAGGGAGAACAGTGGGAAGGAGAGAGTGAAGGAGGAGGAGGGGAAATAGGAGGATAGAGTGAAGGAGGAGGTAGAGGGGTGAAGGAGTAAGGGATGTAGGGAGTAAAATACATGGTAGTGGATGAAGTCTTGATTAGTTTTGCTCCAGTAGCGACAGATCATAAAAAGGAGGGATGGGGAACAAGGAGAAGACACAGAGAGAGGGGGAGATTAGTGCTACTTCAGGAACGACAGAAGACTAGAGAGGAAAAAGACAGAGAGAAGAGGGCTCTTGAAATGTGGTCTGGATTAGCTTCACTAGGAGAACAGGATGAGAGAACAGAGAGGAAGAGACAGAATGAAAGAGAGGAAGAAAGAGAGAGAGAGGAACAGAGACTGAAAATAATGTCAATTTGGGTAAATGAGTTAATATATACTGTATATAAAACGCTTTACATATTTTCAGTCAGTCTGAAAAACAGCAGCAATGGAAGGAAACAGTCAGAGGGGCAACACTACTGCTGCTGTTCCCCACAGAAACACTATCCAGAGTGTTGTTAATGAACAACTATGGGACCATTAGAACTTAACACAAACGTTCATTCTAGTTTGACAGATGAAATGACCCTCCTCTCTCGTTGGAATAGAGTTAGCATTTAAGAAGAGAGAATATATACAACATAATATATGTCCTGGTTCGGGGCTTGATGATAAACACTATGAAGAGAAGACACACACACCTAACTAATGATATCCCTGCCTGTAGCGTTGAGACGAGGCTGGGATATTTCTTTAGCCCTCCTGCCCATTCCACTGGGATGTGATGGGAATTGGGACAGACGTCTCTTACACACGCGCGCACACACACAAGTCTCTTCAACTGTAGCGTGTAGAGGCATTCCCACAGTGACTGGGCAACATTCCCGACCAGAATAGGAACAGGCAGCTCAGTGGACCGGAAGACTAACATTACAGTAGGAAGGCTCTGGGTTAGAACAACTCTGGGAATTCACACCAGAGGTAGAGTAAAACAAGAGAGAGAAGTTTAATGGTGGTGGTGGCTTGAGAGAGACAGAGAGAGAGAGAGACCGAGAGAGAGACAGAGAGACACAGAGAGACCGAGAGAGAGAGACAGACAGACAGAGAGCTTGCTGTTGAACAAATGTTATTTTGACACACACGCTGGCTAAAGAAGATGCTAGAGCTTCCGTAAATTGCCCTGGTCCTCTGACTAACTCTCCAGAAAATGAAGAGGGAAAAAGGGAGGAGTCATATATAGTGTCACGAGGAATAAATCCAGTGAATAACAAATAAAAAGAGTAGAAAATAACTTGTCTATATACAGTACAGGGAGTAGCAGTACTGAGTCAATGTGCAGGGGTACCAGGTAGATATGTACTGTACATACAGAGAGTAGCAGTACTGAGTCAATGTGCAGGGGTACCAGGTAGATATGTACTGTACATACAGAGAGTAGCAGTACTGAGTCAATGTGCAGGGGTACCAGGTAGATATGTACTGTACATACAGAAAGTAGCAGTACTGAGTCAATGTGCAGGGGTACTATGTAGATATGTACTGTACATACAGAGAGTAGCAGTACTGAGTCAATGTGCAGGGGTACCAGGTAGATATGTACTGTACATACAGAGAGTAGCAGTACTGAGTCAATGTGCAGGGGTACCAGGTAGATAGAGAAGAGAAAGGGAGAAGGAGAATGATGAAGAAAGGATGCCCTCCATCACAAACATTTACATTTGAGGAAGAGGAAGAGATGAGGTGGCGGAGAAAAATCAAAGGTGAAAGGTGGAGTGAAGAGCAGGAATAACCCCAGCTAGAGGAATAGAGGGATGAAGAGCAGGAATAACCCCAGCTAGAGGAAGAGAGGGATGAAGAGCAGGAATAACCCCAGCTAGAGGAATAGAGGGATGAAGAGCAGGAACAACCCCAGCTAGAGGAATAGAGGGATGAAGAGCAGGAATAACCCCAGCTAGAGGAAGAGAGGGATGAAGAGCAGGAATAACCCCAGCTAGAGGAAGAGAGGGATGAAGAGCAGGAATAACCCCAGCTAGAGGAATAGAGGGATGAAGAGCAGGAACAACCCCAGCTAGAGGAATAGAGGGATGAAGAGCAGGAATAACCCCAGCTAGAGGAAGAGAGGGATGAAGAGCAGGAATAACCCCAGCTAGAGGAAGAGAGGGATGAAGAGCAGGAATAACCCCAGCTAGAGGAAGAGAGGGATGAAGAGCAGGAATAACCCCAGCTAGAGGAAGAGAGGGATGAAGAGCAAGGAATAACCCCAGCTAGAGGAAGAGAGGGATGAGAGCAGGGAATAACCCCAGCTAGAGGAAGAGAGGGATTGAAGAGCAGGAATAACCCCAGCTAGGGAAGAGAGGGATGAAGAGCAGGAACAACCCCAGCTAGAGGAAGAGAGGGTGAAGAGCAGTGAAATAACCCCAGCTAGAGGAAAGAGAGGGAATGAAGAGCAGAATAACCCCAGCTAGAGGAAGAGAGGATGAAGAGCAGGAACAACCCCAGCTAGAGGAATAGAGGGAATGAAGAGCAGGAATAACCCCAGCTAGAGGAAGAGAGGGATAGAGAGGAGAATAACCCCAGCTAGGGAAGAGGAAGAGAGGAATGAAGAGCAGGAATAACCCCAGCTAGAGGAAGAGAGGGATGAAGAGCAGGAATAACCCCAGCTAGAGGAAGAGAGGAATGAAGAGCAGGAATAACCCCAGCTAGAGGAAGAGAGGAATGAAGAGCAGGAATAACCCCAGCTAGCTGTGATAGAACTAGAGAAGAGCCCATAGGGGTGATGGAGGGAGGGAGCGAGAGGAAAAGGAGGAGTTTACTCACTGGGCTCACAGCACACTGTGACTCGCAGCTTCATGCAGGGCAGGGGGGAGCTTTCCCCTGTAGGCAATGCTGGAGAGAGAGAGAGAGAGAGAAAGGTTGTCTTGTTACAGTAAAGGTATGTGCTGAAGTGTTGGGAGCTTTTCTGCCCAACCCCTCATGTAGTGTATTTGACAATAATATAGAACGTGTCACCATTTACCATATAATGTCTCACCATTCACCAACCAGCAGAACTCAGCTGGATTGCATTCAGTTGGTATGAAAGAAACTAGAGAAAAGGTTTTCCATTTGGAAACTCCAGCCAGACAGCAACCACTACAGGGGTCAAAGGTGACTCAATGGATTGTGGGAGTCAAGGTGTTTCCTGTTTGGCAGCTGCTGTCAGAGTTAAGCGACAGAAACACAGTCATCACTATCTGGTCGTCTGTAGCTCAGTTTGTAGAGCATGGTACTTGCAGGACAGTGGGTTTGATTCCTGGGACCACCCCTACATAAAATGTATGCACGCATGACTAAGTCGCTTCGGATAAAAGCGTCTGCTAAATGGCATATATTATAATAAGGAGAATGCAAACTTAACCTTTCTAACCATGCAATTTCAAAACAGCCACCTCTAATCTTAACCCTTAACGGAACCGAACAAAAGCTTGTCTACTTGCTCGTCAGTTCTGAAAATGCTGTTCCTTCTAGCAATGCCATCTAGTGACTATAGATCACTAGACTGATTGATGCGGATGCTATGTGAGCTGTCAGTGTGGATCGCTATAAGAGACACAGACTGAAACAGCTAATACGATTAGCGGCTCTAATACTATTGTCGTTTCCCCAGTCTAAAACTATTATACTGTCTCCATTCTAGTGTCACCAGTCTAAAACCATTATACTGTCCCTATGGCCTGGCCCTTTCACCCAGCCAGACGTTTGGACAAACTTCAAGTGTTATCTTTGATGTGGACAATACACACACAGACAGCCAGCCAGGCCCAGTGGGGTAGTACGAGGGGAGGAGGCTATTGTTGTGTTCTCCAGCCCTGCACATCCACAATGGCTGTGTGTGTGTGTGTGTGTGTGTGTGTGTGTGTGTGTGTGTGTGTGTGCTCTCGCATGCCCTGACAATGCTCCATTGTCCTGCAGACCACAATAGTAATTTATGTAAAGATTATTTCTTTCCCTCCATCTCTCTCATCCATTATTTTTCCTCGCCCTTTTCCCTCGCTTTTGTTGCTCCCCCTTTCTCTCTTCCCGTGGATTCCACTCATCCCCCTTTCTCTCTCCCCCCTCCCTTCCTGTACTGTTAGACTCTGTCCATCTCCCCTCTCTCGCTCTCTCTCTCTCTGTCATTCCTCCACGCTTCTCTTCCTCCACTGCTTTAAAAGCCTTTCTTTTTCTCTCTGGCTACATCTCCGTCTTGATCTCCATTTTTCCTCATAGCTTGTCTGTGTCCCTCTGTCTGTTTCTTTGTTGTCGCCCCTCTCCACTCGTTCCCTCTCTCTTTCTCGCTCTGTTCTTTCTTGTTTCTGGCTCCCCCCCCCCCTTTTGGTTGGACTGTGACCAGAAGTTGTAAAACAGTAAGAAACTGATTTTACGGCCACAAACCCATCCCTCTCTCCCTTTCTCTCTCTCCCTCTCAATTCAATTTCAATTCAAAGGGCTTTATTGGCATTGGGAAATGTTTACATTGCCAAAGCAAGTGAAATAGATAATAAACTAAAGTGAAATAAACAAAAAAATGAACAGTAAACATTACACTCATAAAAGTTCCAAAGGAATAGAGACATTTAAAAATTCATATTATGACTATATACAGTCTTGTCCCTTTTGGTTGGACTGCAACCAGAAGTTGTAAATAAAGTTAATTCCACAAACCCACCCCTCCCTCCCCTGCTCTCTTCCTCCCTCCCTTGCTCCCTCCTCTCTCCCTCTCTCCCTCATCTCTCCCTCGCTCCCTCCTCTACCTCGCTCCCTCCTCTCTCCCTTGCTCCCTCCTCTCTATCCCTTGCTCCCTCCTCTCTATCCCTTTGCTTCTCCTCCTCTTCTCTCCCTCCCCTCGCTCCCTCCTCGCTCTCCCTCCCCTCTCTCTCCCTCCCTTTGCTCCCTACCTCTCTCCTCTCGGCTCCTCGCCTCCTCTCCTCCTCTCGCTTCCATCCGCTCCTCTCTCCTTGCTCCCCCTCCTCTCTCTCTCCCTTGCTCCCTCCTCTCTCCCTCCTTGCTCCCTCCTCTCTCCCCCTCCTCTCCCTCCCTTGCTCCCTTCCTCTCTCCCCTTGCTCATCTCCTCATCTCCCTTGCTCCCTCCTCTCTATCCTTGCTCCCTCCTCTCATCCTCTCGCTCCCTCCTCTCTCTCTCGCCCCCCCTCCTCTCTCTCCCCTTGCTTCCCTCCCCTCTCTCTCCTCTCTCTCCCTTGCTCCCTCCCCTCTCTTCCTTGCTCCCTCCCCTCTCTTCCTTGCTCCCTCCCCTCTCTTCCTTGCTCTCTCCTCTCCCTCCTCTCTCCTCTCCCTCCTCTCCCTCCCTTGCTCCCTCCTCCCTCCCTTGCTTCCTCCTCTCCCTCTCCTCCAGTGGTTGGAGATAAATGAGAGAGGAAGACAGAAAGAGGAAGTAGTGGGAAAAGAGGAAACCCAAGTTATTTCACTGCCTGCATTATAATATTATACAGATTGACTTACATACACACACACACACCCTCCCATCTACTCACAGCTGTAGTAGTAGTGGTGTCCGGGGAGGAACTCAAAGCCCAGAGAGAAGGGGGTGAAGCGCTGGATCTTCTCTGAAAAGCGGACAGGGCCGAAAGGGGTGTGGGGCGTGTTACACTCCCACCTCTTGATGGCCCCCTGGGTCTCCACACAGCCCCTGAACCCCCCCTCAGCCACCAGGTACAGGGCCAGGCTGCCTGGTGGGGCCTGGGGGGAGGCCTCCTCACTGGGGGGAGACGGGTGAGGGTAGTGGGGGCAGAATATATCCAGGTAGTCATTCAGATTCACCTGGATGGACAGATCACCTCCCGTCAACCTGGGAGAGAGAAAGAGGGAGAGGAAAAGAGATGAAGCATCAACATTCCACAATAACGATCAAACACAGTAAAATACAATACTGTTAGTCTGAGAGAAAGAGAGGGGGATGGAGAGAAGAGATGGATGGTTGATAGATAGTCTATATAACTGTGGGCCTGGAGGAGAGATGGAGAGAGAAGAGGGATGGATAGATCATCAATATTCCACACAGCGATTACAAGGTACGATAAAGCAATATAATGTACAGCAGCCTTTATTACTTGTTTTGGTATCTGATACTATGTAATGATATAGCTAGGAGCAGTGGCAGGAAAAACAGAGAGAGAGACAGATGAGAGAGTGAGAGGCCCAACAATGCTAATTAAGGAGAAAAGGGAGTCGGAAGAGTACAATGTGGACTTGACTCTCTGACACACACACACACACACACTAGGGCCTCCAGTCAAGGCTGGCTGGTTCTGGGCATAACAACATGGGGCCAGACATGAGCAGTACGGTGTCGAAGGGCCATGGTGAATTGAGGAGAGGGAGCATATCTAACAGTCCTCTACTAGTGGAGAGAGAAGCAGCATATCTAACAGTCCTCCACTAGTGGAGAGAGAAGCAGCATATCTAACAGTCCTCCACTAGTGGAGAGAGAAGCATCATATCTAACAGTCCTCCACTAGTGGCGAGAGAAGCAGCATCATATCTAACAGTCCTCCACTAGTGGAGAGAGAAACAGCATATCTAACAGTCCTCTACTAGTGGAAAGAGAAACATCATATCTAACAGTCCTCCACTAGTGGCGAGAGAAGCAGCATCATATCTAACAGTCCTCTACTAGTGGAGAGAGAAACAGCATATCTAACAGTCCTCTACTAGTGGAGAGAGAAACAGCATATCTAACAGTCCTCTACTAGTGGAGAGAGAAACAGCATATCTAACAGTCCTCTACTAGTGGAGAGAGAAACAGCATATCTAACAGTCCTCTACTAGTGGAGAGAGAAACAGCATATCTAACAGTCCTCTACTAGTGGAGAGAGAAACAGCATATCTAACAGTCCTCTACTAGTGGAGAGAGAAACAGCATATCTAACAGTCCTCTACTAGTGGAAAGAGAAACAGCATATCTAACAGTCCTCTACTAGTGGAGAGAGAAACAGCATATCTAACAGTCCTCTACTAGTGGAGAGAGAAACAGCATATCTAACAGTCCTCTACTAGTGGAAAGAGAAACAGCATATCTAACAGTCCTCTACTAGTGGAAAGAGAAACAGCATATCTAACAGTCCTCTACTAGTGGAGAGAGAAACAGCATATCTAACAGTCCTCTACTAGTGGAGAGAGAAACAGCATATCTAACAGTCCTCTACTAGTGGAGAGAGAAACAGCATATCTAACAGTCCTCTACTAGTGGAGAGAGAAACAGCATATCTAACAGTCCTCTACTAGTGGAGAGAGAAACAGCATATCTAACAGTCCTCTACTAGTGGAAAGAGAAACAGCATATCTAACAGTCCTCTACTAGTGGAAAGAGAAACAGCATATCTAACAGTCCTCTACTAGTGGAAAGAGAAACAGCATATCTAACAGTCCTCTACTAGTGGAAAGAGAAACAGCATATCTAACAGTCCTCTACTAGTGGAAAGAGAAAAACAGACTGGCCATACAGTATGTCCACCAGTCTGCAGAATATGAATCCTTAAGAGTTGATTGACACAATCTAAGTAACATAACAAAAAAATCCTCACAAAAATAGATATCAGGGCTGCGTCTCAATCCACCGCATCCGCATATGTCGGCCTTACGCATTTGCGGTGGAAGGTGGCCGAGCTACAGCAGTGTTTGTCAGACCATGAGACATCCCGAAAATCTGTCTTCTCACCAAAACGTCTGTAGCGTCCGAACGGTAGGACAGACACTTAACCTTATTCCTTATTATATTTTTTTTATATATATATTTTTGCCATTTATGAATGTGTTATCAATGCGTTGTTATGGGTTATACTTGCAGGGTTTCCCAAACTCGGTTCTTGGGCCCACGCTGGGTGCACATTTTGTTTTTTGCCCTAGTGCTACACAGCTGATTCAAATAATAAAAGCTTGATGAATTGGTTATTTTAAATCAGCTGTGTAGTGCTAGGGCAAAAACCAAAACATGCACCTGGGAGGGAATGACTGAGTTTGGGAAACTCTGGGCTATAGTAGTAAATGCCAAATTCAATGTAATGGGGTCCTTAAATTCAAAATCAAGAGTTAATTATCCATGGTATGATCATCTAAATACAATTCCGTATGAAAGCTTACTACCCCCCAATGGCTTAGACTTTTAGAGGTTAACTACAGAGACAGAAAAGAGGTAGATATGTAGAGCAGTGATAGTCAGTCTGAGATAGAGAGCGAGGGATGAAGTGTGTGATGAAACAAAAACCGTGAGAAGAAAAGAGAGCAAGAGAAGGAAGGAAGGAGAAGTATGAGGGAGGGAAGAGAGTACAAAGGGATGTAGAACGTCATGACAGAAGGAGAAAGACGAGAGGATGGACAAAGTGAGAGTCATGACAATTAGAAAGACTGAAAAAAGATAGAAACAAAGTGAGTTTATTAAAGTAAGACGATGAGGGGAGGAGAAAAGAGTAGAGACAAAAGAGGTGAGTTTTAATTAGTGACCCTGGAGAGAGAGAGAGAGAGAGAGAGAGGAGGAGATGGACTTTAATTGGTCTCCACTCCACACCGAGCACATGAGGGAGGGATGAGGGGGGCAGAAAACGCAAGAGGGAGAAAAAGAGAAATAAAAGACAGGATGTGTGTCTTGGGCGGCAAGTTCAGGTCCGTCAGAGGGAGTCTTTATAGGGGAGCGACAGAGCGAGGGAGTCAGTGGAGGAGAAAAAGGAGAGAGAATAGCATGGAGAGAGGGAGGGGAGAGACGGGGTCTCCAGTTAAGTGGGTGGACAGAGAGAAGAAGAAAAGAGAGAGAAAAAAGACTGGGGCATCAGAGAGAGAGATCACCAACCCTGGTTCTAGAGAGCTGCAGGGTGTGCAGGCTTTAGTTCCAGCCTAGTATTCACACACCTGATTCAACTAATAAAGGAATTTGATTATTAGTTAATTGGTTGAAACAGGTGAGCTAGTGCTGGGTTGGGAAAAAAACTGCATGCTAAAAGTGATGTGAAAGTGGACTCAGAAATAGATTTGAAACATGTCAGAAAACCTAGTTAGTAGAGAGGTGCTGTATGCTTCAGCACAGTTAGTAGAGAGGTGCTGTAGGCTTCAGCACAGTTAGTAGAGAGGTGCTATAGGCTTCAGCACAGTTAGTAGAGAGGTGCTGTAGGCTTCAACACAGTTAGTAGAGAGGTGCTATAGGCTTCAGCACAGTTAGTAGAGAGGTGCTGTAGGCTTCAACACAGTTAGTAGAGAGGTGCTGTAGGCTTCAACACAGTTAGTAGAGAGGTTCTGTAGGCTTCAACACAGTTAGTAGAGAGGTGCTGTAGGCCTCAACACAGTTAGTAGAGAGGTGCTGTAGGCCTCAACACAGTTAGTAGAGAGGTGCTGTATGCTTCAACACAGTTAGTAGAGAGGTGCTGTAGGCTTCAACACAGTTAGTAGAGCGGTGCTGTAGGCCTCAACACAGTTAGTAGAGAGGTGCTGTAGGCTTCAACACAGTTAGTAGAGAGGTGCTGTAGGCTTCAACACAGTTAGTAGAGCGGTGCTGTAGGCCTCAACACAGTTAGTAGAGAGGTGCTGTATGCTTCAACACAGTTAGTAGAGAGGTGCTGTAGGCTTCAACACAGTTAGTAGAGCAGTGCTGTAGGCCTCAACACAGTTAGTAGAGAGGTGCTGTAGGCTTCAACACAGTTAGTAGAGAGGTGATGTAGGCTTCAACACAGTTAGTAGAGAGGTGCTGTAGAATTCAAACACAGTTAGTAGAGAGGTGCTGTAGGCCTCAACACAGTTAGTAGAGGTGCTGTAGGCTTCAGCACAGTTAGTAGAGGTGCTATAGGCTTCAGCACAGTTAGTAGAGAGGTGCTATAGGCTTCAGCACAGTTAGTAGAGAGGTGCTGTAGGCTTCAACACAGTTAGTAGAGAGGTGCTATAGGCTTCAGCACAGTTAGTAGAGAGGTGCTGTAGGCTTCAACACAGTTAGTAGAGAGGTGCTGTAGCCTTCAACACAGTTAGTAGAGAGGTGCTGTAGGCTTCAACACAGTTAGTAGAGAGGTGCTGTAGGCCTCAACACAGTTAGTAGAGAGGTGCTGTAGGCCTCAACACAGTTAGTAGAGAGGTGCTGTATGCTTCAACACAGTTAGTAGAGAGGTGCTGTAGGCTTCAACACAGTTAGTAGAGCGGTGCTGTAGGCTTCAACACAGTTAGTAGAGAGGTGCTGTAGGCTTCAACACAGTTAGTAGAGCGGTGCTGTAGGCCTCAACACAGTTAGTAGAGAGGTGCTGTATGCTTCAACACAGTTAGTAGAGAGGTGCTGTAGGCTTCAACACAGTTAGTAGAGCAGTGCTGTAGGCCTCAACACAGTTAGTAGAGAGGTGCTGTAGGCTTCAACACAGTTAGTAGAGAGGTGCTGTAGGCTTCAACACAGTTAGTAGAGAGGTGATGTAGGCTTCAACACAGTTAGTAGAGAGGTGATGTAGAATTCAAACACAGTTAGTAGAGAGGTGCTGTAGGCCTCAACACAGTTAGTAGAGGTGCTGTAGGCTTCAGCACAGTTAGTAGAGGTGCTATAGGCTTCAGCACAGTTAGTAGAGAGGTGCTGTAGGCTTCAACAGTTAGTAGAGGTGCTGTAGGCTTCAACACAGTTAGTAGAGAGGTGCTGTAGGCTTCAACACAGTAGAGAGGTGCTGTAGGCTTCAACACAGTTAGTAGAGAGGTGCTCTAGGCTTCAACACAGTTAGTAGAGGTGCTGTAGGCTTCAGCACAGTTAGTAGAGAGGTGCTGTAGCCTTCAGCACAGTTAGTAGAGAGGTGCTGTAGGCCTCAACACAGTAGAGAGGTGCTGTAGGCCTCAGCACAGTTAGTAGAGAGGTGCTGTAGGCTTCAGCACAGTTAGTAGAGAGGTGCTGTAGGCTTCAGCACAGTTAGTAGAGGTGCTGTAGGCTTCAACACAGTAGAGAGGTGTTGTAGGCTTCAACACAGTTAGTAGAGAGGTGCTGTAGGCTTCAACACAGTTAGTAGAGAGGTGCTGTAGGCCTCAACACAGTTAGTAGAGAGGTGCTGTAGGCTTCAGCACAGTTAGTAGAGAGGTGCTGTAGGCTTCAACACAGTTAGTAGAGAGGTGCTGTAGGCTTCAACACAGTTAGTAGAGAGGTGCTGTAGGCTTCAGCACAGTTAGTAGAGAGGTGCTGTAGGCTTCAACACAGTTAGTAGAGAGGTGCTGTAGGCCTCAACACAGTTAGTAGAGAGGTGCTGTAGGCCTCAACACAGTTAGTAGAGAGGTGCTGTAGGCTTCAACACAGTTAGTAGAGAGGTGCTGTAGGCTTCAGCACAGTTAGTAGAGAGGTGCTGTAGGCTTCAACACAGTTAGTAGAGAGGTGCTGTAGGCTTCAACACAGTTAGTAGAGAGGTGCTGTAGGCTTCAACACAGTTAGTAGAGAGGTGCTGTAGGCTTCAGCACAGTTAGTAGAGAGGTGCTGTAGGCTTCAACACAGTTAGTAGAGAGGTGCTGTAGGCCTCAACACAGTTAGTAGAGAGGTGCTGTAGGCCTCAACACAGTTAGTAGAGAGGTGCTGTAGGCTTCAACACAGTTAGTAGAGAGGTGATGTAGGCTTCAACACAGTTAGTAGAGAGGTGCTCTAGGCTTCAGCACAGTTAGTAGAGAGGTGCTGTAGGCTTCATCACAGGGACAGCACTGAGACAGCTCTTCACTAAGCTGATTCCTAATCAATACAAGCCGCAGAGTATTGGTGATCAATCTACAGGACGGGGCACCATCGATCTGGGCCACTCAAACAGGACACACGCACAAAGTATTGATCCCCAGTGTGTGTGTGTGTGTGTGTGTGTGTGTTCAACCCCTCAGGTCACGATGCATAGCTCTACTACCTGTATCGGCTCTCCACCAGCGACACACACACACTATGACAGCAGTATGTTTACTTTGGTGTACTAGAACCTCTGCAGGGTGTGTGTGTGTGTGTGTGTGTGTGTGAATATAACCACACTTTACTAGGCAGTGACAGCGGTGTGTTTACATAGCGGTGTACCACCTGTAGCGAGTGTCAGTCACCATGACTCCTCTCCTATCTAAAGCTGCTCACAGGTCTTGTCAAACCACCTCTCCTCTTCCTCCCCCCTTTGCTATTTTTCCGCCCTCTCCCTTTCTCTCTGCATATCAATCACTCTTCCCCCCACCCATCTCCTCTGCACCTCTGAGACTCTTCCTCTCACGTTTCCCTGCATCCCTCCCCTGCTCCATCCATTCATCCTCCTCTCCTCTATCCTTAGCTCAGATGATGTATGCCCTGGCAATTACAGAGACGGTGTGTGCCAAAGGTGCCAAACACTGTCAACCTTTCCCTCTTTCTCCTTCCTGGATATCTCACTCCCCCCTCTCTCCCCCACACCCTCTCTCCAGACCTTGGAGGATGAGGTACACCCTAATTATACCCAGGATGCTCTGCTCTGTGCCAGCTGCGAGCCAGGGGAGCTGTGACAGCACAGAGAATCATGGAAGTGCTGTAGAACAGTGTCACAGAGTAGAATGTCAGAGCAGCCAATCAGTGAGAGAACAAAGTGAAACAGGAAGATAATCAAATACAGGGCAGTGTAGGACACACAACCTGGAATTATGACAGAGACAGGGGCCAGGGTCTGGGGATGACACCATGACATTGTAGGAACATAGAGAAACAAACAGTAGAGAGAGGAGGACTAGGGGAAAGTCTTTGTCAGACGTCCCATGTCCAGCCCTCTACCGGACGCTAGGTGTGTGTTCTGTTCTGTGTTTGGTGCAGTGTGTAACCCAGGAAGATGGATGTGGAGTTAGCATACCACAGTCCTCCTGAGGTCCTATGTTAACTCTATGGTCTGTTCAAACTAATCCATTCTTACAATAACCCACATGTTGAGTGCTTCAACAATACAGTGAATTAACAACTACAAAACCTCATAACTGAATCAAAAGAATATTGTACATAATGGATGGTATTACTGATGAGCGTGCGTGTGTGTGTGTTGCGTGAGGATTAGGAGTGTACTGTATGTGTGTGCGCGTGTTATGTGTGTGTGTAGTTGTAATGAAATGCAGGAGGTTGACTGTGGCAGGGACCTCTGATCCTTTATATGAGAGAATAATTAAACAAGCAACAATCCCTCAGCAGACAGTCAGCCTGGAATACAGAACACTTACTCTACTACACATACTACTGTCAACGACACAATACGCATACTGAATATAACCACACTTTACTACACTTTAAGTACATACTGCGCATACCAAGTACATGAGAAAAGTTAAGTTGTGCTACTGCACACAACAAGTACCAAAGTACACTAGTACAAAGGAGAACAGTGTACTAGTACATAAACCAAGTAAACTAAACTACTAGGAGAAGAGAGAAGGGAAGGAGAGAAGGGTTCCTGAATGGTCTGTGGGGTGACCGGGGGGGGTGTTATTATTGTAGTGACTGTGGAGAGGTTGTAAGGCTCGGTGGAGCCCAAACTCTTCCTTGGTTGGGCATAGCATGTAGCCATAGCATGTAGCCGCACCACTACCTTGGTTGGGCATAGCATGTAGCCATAGCATGTAGCCGCACCACTACCTTGGTTGGGCATAGCATGTAGCCATAGCATGTAGCCGCACCACTACCATGGTTGGGCATAGCATGTAGCCATAGCATGTAGCCGCACCACTACCATGGTTGGGCATAGCATGTAGCCGCACCACTACCTTGGTTGGGCATAGCATGTAGCCATAGCATGTAGCCGCACCACTACCTTGGTTGGGCATAGCATGTAGCCGCACCACTACCTTGGTTGGGCATAGCATGTAGCCATAGCATGTAGCCGCACCACTACCTTGGTTGGGCATAGCATGTAGCCATAGCATGTAGCTGCAACTCTGCCTTGGTTGGGCATAGCATGTCTTCACACCCCTCTATGGAAGTATGTCTATCATGCTGTAACAATAACACAGGAAGTTGGTTGCAGAATGATTTCCCACATTTCTACTGTGTTCCAAAACATAACAGGTAGTCATCATTACCATGGAATAACACTGCAACTCATCAGAGGAGTTTTGTAGTGGTGGTAGTGTGAGAGCAACATGACAGTTTCTG